CAGCCCGTTTTTGGGTTTCTTGTTTACTGGCGGTATATAACCATACTCGGCCTTCAAGATGATCAGACCTTCTTGTGCTTCTTCTCGTGCTTGCCGCCTTTGCACTTGATCCGTCATGAGCTCGATGGCCTGGAGACTCTCTTCCCGTTTCTTGGGGATCAACTTCGTGAGCTCACGGTGGCGTCGAGCGGCTGCCTGTCGACGGAGTTTCCTATCGCGCGGGCGAATATATCCAAATTCAATCGCGCAGTAGGCCAGCCAAGGGAATATAGCAGTCAGCGCTGCAGCGCCGCTTGTTGCCTCACTAGCCGGGCAAACATTGATGGGAAGATTAATGTTTTGGCCGAGTCGACTCCATGAAACTGTCATCATGATACCCTTGTCCGCGATGCCAACGCCGAGGCCAACACGCGTGTACTCGCCAACCCGACGAACACCCTTAATGGTCCAATTGAGAGACATGTCTAACCCAACAACGCTTGAGATCTCGAGTCGCACAGCACGCGCCTGATCCATACTCGGCATCGGGAAGTACCCGTCAGAGCTCCATTCAGTCTTGACCGGATCATCGGCGGGTTTTCCGGAGAAGAGGTTGCGAGAATAATTCAAAACAAAAGCGCCGCCGGCGGGAGTAGCCTGGAGATAGGTCTGCCATGACTCGGCAGATTGGTCGATTTGACGTTTCTTCTTGAGAAGATGACGGACGTCCTCTTCCATTTCTCCACCCTCTTCCTCGTCATCATCGTCGAAATCAACTGCAGCTTGGCCCTGCTTGGGGAGCGAAATTAGACCAATTTGCAGATTACTGACCTCGTTAGCGGAAGCAATGGCACTCTGAGCACCCATTCCAAGTGTTGGGAACCAGTTGAGAAGAAATTCGGGCCAGTCAACAACGCCACTGGACCATGTAATGACGGCAATTTTCCTCTTGGCGATTTCCCTTGAAATTTGGACCTCGAAAGAGGGCGGTGTTTCGTCCAAGGAGCGCGTATGTATACTGGTCACACTGACCTGGAACGGCTTGGTGCCGGGGATCGGCTGGAAGGCCCGAGCAATGTTCGCTTTCAGGGTCGGGGCAGGGAGAAGAAGAGCATCGAAGGTGACTTGTGAATCCCTGAGGAGCGAGAATGGATGTTTGGCCCAAATCCCTTTGGTGCCGATCAAGTTTTTAAAATTGGGAGTCACAGTGGCCCCAAATTGGAAGTTCTGAGCTGCCAGGATGGGTGGCATTTGGAACTGCAAAACGGTTAGCATAATTTCGAAATGCAAGCCTGCAGCACATCATACCTTTTCTTCTCCTTCTGTCCCATCCTCGTACTCAACTGTGACTTTCTTAATCGGGCGAGCCAATCCTCCAGTTATACCCGCATTAAAAGTCAACTGCATGTCCTCTGATTCCTCCTCTTGCACATCTTCGCCTGCATCCGTTTCCACACCCCCGTTTTCTGCTTCTTTCTCTGTCGTACCCCAAAGCTGTGGTAATGCCACAGGCGTCTTGAAATTATACGAAACACCATACGTGGACACTTTCGGTGAAGGTATATGGAACTGTACATCTTCGTCCTCGTCAACTGAGACCATAGTCGACGCGTTGATTCCGAGGGTAATACCGCCCTAAGGTCAAACCCAATTAATGTCAGCAACAGCCCAACGATTCGCGCAACTTCCCATAGACGGAAGAATCATTATTGAAAATACATACCTTGCTAGAAACAAGACTCTCGACCGCTTTCCGCTCCCGTTTCTTCATCGTCTTCAAAAACCAGCGCTTGAACTGATCCGGCGACATCGCCTTGACACCAACATCCTGTCGTTGTGCCTCCCCACCAATTCCCATGGCCCCAAGCTGACCCCATTCCTGCCGCACACCAGCCGCACCAGATATATCATATACAATGCGTTTATTCGGATCAATGAGCGTCTCATACGCCTCCTGGATATGTCTGAACTGACTCTCGGCGGCATGACGGAGATGCGGTGGCTGTTTGTCGGGATGGAAGCTAAGGGTCAGGTTGCGGTAGGCGGATCGGATCTCGGCGTCTGTCGGGGGCGGGTTGCGTGCAAGTCCCAGCAGGACATAATAGTCGGGTTCCTCTGGGTATTCGCCGACCATGCTATAGTCAGCGTCGAGTCCGTCATCTTCCACCGTCGCACGGAACTCCCCGGGGAACTCCTGTGTCCCGGAGGATTGGTTGAAGGAGGTCATGAGAGCTTTCTGCGCACTCGTTTTGTGTTATTCTATATATATATCCCCATTTTGGGGTGGTTGGATGAAATGCGACAGATGAATCAAGGTGGAGTGGAGAGAAATGGAACCGGAGAAACCTTCCGCATCTCCGTTGGAATCCCCGCTTAGATGTGTTATAGTGGAGCATTGCCTAGAGTATAGAGCTATTGCTTATAGTCAAGTTTGATCCATTTTATTTTAAGAGTAGAATTTGAAACGTCAGAAAACAATGCCTTTGTTCTCGGGTGCCAACCCTGTGACTCAATTCCTATTGGCTTAGGACCAACATTGGTATTAGTATTGGCACTTAGCATATTAACCTCTATAAATGTAGCATATAGATACGTGAAAACTTCTATTTTAATATACAATTGTGAAAATGACTGATACATTCACGATATGTGTCAGTAAGGTCTACTAATAAGAATAGTCCATCTCCACTAAAATGGGGCTGAGCAAGTTATAGAGCATGTTCGTCAAAACAATGCAGATCAGCTGGACTGTTTTTAAGCCAGTTGCAGTGGTGATCTCTCTCTATATCCAATGAACTCCAATTTTGTATGCAGCCTGCGTTGATATATTCCTAGATCTTGCGATTGCCGGTGCAATCAACAAGAGCAGAGCAATGCCCGCTAATACATGCCAAGAACTCAATTGGAAGTCATCGATAAAACCCAAAAAGAAGGCAACTGGTAGTAAATCAGCTAAAATACCCAACTGGAGCTAAAGATACACCGTTGGTACCTGATGTAGCATGCACGGGTGATCAGCATAAAATCACTTGGCAAAATGTGCCACGTCGACCGTAGACCTCCTCTTCAATATATGTCAGCCTAATAGAGTACAAATTGAACTATTATAAGGTAAATGTTGAGTGTTGATCTATACCAACGCTACGCGCACACAAGGCAACAGTTCGGTGACCATCGTGTAACTCATAAGTACGGAGTAAGCCCCTCCGGTATACTCCAAGTTCTCAACTCTTATAAAACAGATCAAGAGACCGACTTACAAACGCTACTCCTCAACCCAACCTCCCACTCTCTCCAACTTGACTGGAATACCAATGACCAATCCATCAACAATGACCACCCGCTTAAAAGAACTGGGCGCGCAACAGCCCCCAGTATTCAAAATAAACCTCTCCCACCCACCAGAAGAGCGCTACACAGCCCTCGCCAGTCTCTACAAAGACCGAATGCGCTCCGTAACCAGCATATTCGACGACGTGATTCACAACCTCTCCCCAAACATCCCAACAAAACCAATCCACTGGCTAGCGCGTCTATTCCTACGCAGACTCTACACAGACGAAGAAACAGCCGAGATCCGCGGCATCAGTCGCGTAACCGGAATCTCCCTTTACCTCCTAATCTGTTTGAACGTGGTGCTCGATCTATTAATGGGTTGCACGAGTGGCGGTGTACGAATGCTCGACGGACTCTGGACACGAATGGTCCACTTCCGGACCTTGGACTGGGGAATGGATCCACTACGCTCGCTGATCGTGCAACTTGAATTCGTGCGCGATGACGCGCCGGATAAAGTGCTCGCGACGTGTATCACGTACGTTGGGTTCGTGGGGATTCTCACGGGTGTGCGGAAAGATCTAAGTGTTTCGCTCAATTTCCGCGCTGTCCATGATTCCCGGAGAAATGTCGGTTTTTATTTTAATTATTTGCTTGTTTTGCTTGGTTTGCGACAATCCATCACCTCGCTGTTGAGACAGTGTGTTCTTCCCAGTGTGGAGGGATCGACGAGACTTTCGAATACTTCGACCATAGAGGAGATACTGGATGAAGTACCTTGTTTGCGAACGACGGCTGCGTACCTGATCTTCTGTGATGGGAGTAGCATTGTTGCGATGGAAAAGGACTATGAGACTGCGTTTTGGCGCAGGTCGAGTTCTTTCATTATCAAAACCAACCACGATGAGGATACTAGTTCGGTCATGGATGAGGCTATCGCGAATGATAGGGGATATACTGGTCTTCGTGTGGCGGATGGTATGCAGAGCATGGCTGATATTATTGAGGAGAGTAGAGGGCGGCAAGCGTCGATGCAGGAGAAATGGGATCGCAGGGTGCAGGATCATGGGGTCTTCCAACAACAACTTAAGAGGCGGAGAGTTAAGAATGCTGCTGTTCCCCGTTCACAGTCGATTCATTTGGAGTGGAAACGGAATACGAAGGTCGGATGGGAAGATGGTGCGTCTGAGGTGTCGGTTACGCTTGGGACAGTGCTTGGGTGGCTTTGCTCTGACCCGATTGTGAATGGTGATACTCATTATGCTGTGCTGATGGATCCTGTTGAAGGCAGGTTTATTTATTCCGGGCAGTTCCCAGCCCAGGAATCATAATAGCAAGATGATTTTGTACAAATAATACAGTGACCCTTGATTTATCTCGACCATTGTCTTCCAAGCTTGATAGATATATGTACATGAGCAAATAGCAGCAGAGCGCTGAAAAGCACGAAAAAAGCAAAAAATAAATGACATACTATATAATATACAGATGTAGAAAATATGGAACTCTGCTCAAAGATAGGCAAATGAGTCAAGTCATGTAGATCACAGTCCCGTTTATACATGGCAACAATGCGCTCGGCCAAGCCGCCATCATTATTAAAATGCATCCATCGCATCGTAACAGGATAATAGGGAACAAGATTCCCTCACCACTGCAGGAACATCAACATTTCCAGAAGATCAATCACGTCGTCGAGCCAATTTGGAACTCGATCAGAGGATACCAAAAGGAAGAGACAGACCTCATGGATCTCTAATCCAAGCAATACCACTCTCGGAGATGAGCGTCTCATCAAGCCGCAGAGCATTCAAAAGTACCTCTCTGGGCATAGATCCCGTAAAAAGATCCTCACCCATTGTCGCAGGCGGATGAGAATGCAAAGCGCCAGCATGGACCTTCATCTCAAGCGGGGGTCCATCTAGCGCAAAGCCCAGTTTATCGGCGAAAACGCTGCGCTCATTGAGACAGTAAATCATCAGACCCAGACGTCTGTGGAGAACCGTGGCTAATTGCAAAGAGCCATCCCAATAGCGACCGAGTTCGTGAACGGTATCTAGTGCACCTCTGATATAAGAGACGCACTCGTGCAACTGCGACGCCAGACCAGCGGAGCTGAGGACGTCCACGGCTGATAGAACGACGTAGCCGAGGAATGGGTTCAGGAGGGTTAGGGATGTGGGAGTCTCAGTGTTGTGTCGGGAAGGGGTGATTTCTTTTGCGTATTGGTCGAAGGTAAGAGAGATGCGGAGGATTTCAACGGCGTGGTATCGAGCGCGGTGGATGTACTGGCCTAGTATTTCTGGTCGGAGGCTCTGGTATCGGGCGTGTCTGTACAGTTTCATCAAACTGGCGTGGTAGAACAAATGGGTTGAGACGAAGGTGTCTGCTTTTCTTTGCCGGATGCTTCGTTCTAGATTTATGGATGAGAATGCCAGGTAATCGGGGAGTCGGGTCATCCATTGATTTGATTTTTGGATGATGGTTGTGTGGAATTCTTCGGCGAGTCGGTTGTATGCTTCGGGGGGAATGTGTGGTAATCGGGTTATATGCAGGGAGATGTCTCCCCAAATGGCCATGATCTCGATTAAAAAGGCCATTGGGCTTAGTGTGGAGCGATCATCGCCTGTAGAGGCTGGGATGTGGTTGAGGAATGATTGGAAATAGGGGACTGTCGCATACTGCTGAGTCTCGTAGATTTCTTCTCGACATGGGAGCCTCAGCAAGGCTGCATCTGACGAGATGAAAGTCGAGGAAGCGGAATAGAGGCTCGAGAAGCGCTGGTGTTTTGTCAGTAACTAAGAATCGGTCTTTAACCGGGGGATTTGCATATTCTTACATCAAGCACAAAGGCAATCCAAAAGGTTCGCCGTCGGCACTCAATCAAAGCCTGTGGGTGTAACCCGTAGTCACACTTCTGGCTTTGATCCACCACAACACCGCCAGATTCCACGTTGTAACGAAGGCCAAATACCGCTCTTCCGGCTGCGCCTATTGAATCCCAAGACCCGACCAGCGACCCTGTAGCGTAGTACCAAAGACTCATTATCATATGGCTCTGAGCAAGTTGCAAAGAGAGGGTATGCTGGCTTCTGTTAATGGCAAAGCGGGCTATACGAGAATATCGCTTCATGGCTGCCATTTTGTCTAACCTGTCTGAGAACACAGATCCAAGAGCCATCATAGAATAAAGAAGCATCTTGTCGTCTGCAGACTTGGCGGGGTCGGTCTTCAACCACAGGCCAAATCGTCCATGCGGGAACATGTGGTACAGGCCGTCATTCACGTGTAAGAAATAACACTCAGTATAGTGAATTGCCGCCTCTGGATCGCTTTCGTAGGGGTCCACATGCCATGAGGCCGCGAGCGGGTCGTCCGAGTTGTTGTCCTTGAGTTCCCCCAAAATGTCAGAGTACTCGGGCGTACGAGTAGACTCGATATGTGCCGAGGATCGTCCGAGGGTGTCATCTGCGCTGGATAAAGACGATGGGAATCGGTAGGATCGGGATCTTAAAGCCCTGTCCGCGTCGGCCATAGTTTCATACGTGGCTTCTGTGCCTGATGGCGTGAGCATCGAGGCTTCTGACATCGGTGAGTGGCCGGTAGTCCCAGGAAGGGAGGTCGCACTGTCCGAGGCTCGAAGGCTGTCGTAAATGGACGGAGAAACGTCCAAAGCACCGTGGCTTGCGCGGGCGTAAGGATTGCCAGATGGCCCTGTTGACCCTCTCATGAGAGGACGGTTTCCCCGCGGGCTTTGAGGAGGTTAGCAATGGTTCAAAATAATTCCGTGGACGGATTATTGTTCAGAGATCATGATCACACTTACGCACTTTCGAACCTGCATTCACGTCCAGATTTCCGGCATTGATCACATACGGCCTCGGCAGTTGGGTTAGGGTTACACTTGATTTTTTTCTCGCGACAGGTCAGACAGGCAAGTCCAAGGCGCTTCCTCGGCCTACCAGCCTTTGTTATGCCCCAATTTGCGTTGACAGGGGTACCATCGATGAATTTGGGACAGAACGATCCGTCTGCGTATACGAAGCAGAGTTCCCCGTCAATGACTCGTTCGTCTACCACATGAGGCCGGAGGGGTTTGTTGTGTAACCGACTTGAACTTTCTGGTGATGATAGTTCCCCACTGGGTACTTGATCATGTGAAGATGTGGTGTGAAAGCCGTGCGGATAGGATGCAGCGGATGGATCACTTCTTGTCGGTGTGTGGTTTCTTATACCTCGATGTCCATGTAAAGCCACTTGTGACAATGAAGGCAGGCCAGTATGCTGTTGCGGGAGAGATTCGGCACGGCCTCTATCATTTACAGAGGTTGGCGAAACCTGGAAAGTCGGATCGTGATGGTGAGGCGGGTATGTAGATTCACGCCGCCCTATGTTGGGTGTTGAATTTGAAAATGGTCGAGAGTATTGTGGTGAATTGTTGCCCGGTGTCGGGGTGAGTATTTGACTCACGGAGGGGAGATGGTCTGGTTTTTGGTGTGATCCACTGTCCTTTCCCTGGGGACTGGCTTGCCGTGAAAAGGGATCAGATCCAAATTGTAAACTAGCCGGGGGTGGAAGCTGGTATGGGAGGTCCCCGGATTCTTGTAAATTAGCTGGATGCTCCGATTGCTGCTCCGATGGGCGGTCTGTGGTGGGTAACATACGACCGAAGGGTCCGACATAGTAGCGTGGGCCTATGCCAGAATGGGAGGTAGATCCTGATCCTGGTCCTTGGGGGGTTGACATGGCGCTTAGGTATATGAGGTCGGAGTGCTTCACAGAATTTGACCGTCTACATAACAGACCCAGACGACAACCAGTGTGACAAGGGATTTGTACCCTTGAATGGGTATAGTGTCAAGAAAAAGGACTTGATCTGAAATGATGTCGTGAGGTTGTCCTTGGCTGATTCTTAGCTTTTTGTTGACTTTTCTGGGTTCCAGAGATATAGTGCACAGAGGTACCTATTCAAAGAGGCCAGGCGACTTAGCAATGGGCTCATTTCTCTGATCTCCCTCCGCCGGAACATAGACGCTTTTCACATACCAATTTCACTTTTCGGTCTTCAAGGAACAATAGAGGTCAAAAGTCCAACAAATTTGGATCAGGCAGCAAAGCAAAATAGAAAGACCGTGTACGTTCCAAGCTCAAAAGCGAATGGCGAGCAGGAATGATAAGAGAGACAGGAATTTGTACAAACGTTGCCCACGAGTATTTGAAAATATCGCTCGAAATAGTCAACTCTCGGCAAGTCGCGTGGTGTGCCGGTGAAGCCGAAAGGGAAAAGGTAACAGAAGCTGGCTTAGAAGGCCACCATCTCGCATTAGTCCCGAGCAGTCACGGTCTCAGGTGCATAGTTTCCGTGTAGGGCTGTCTGCGGTATCCTAGTAGCTGCCAACGTCCAGGGATTCTCCAGGCCTTAGACGAGGACTATGAAGCTGCAGGCTTCCACCAACCCAAGGAGTCACGGAGAACCGGGCCGAAGTGTTTAGCAAGGAAAGCTCCGTGCTTGAAATCCAGTAGATCACTACTAAATGTCGAACTGGAGGATTCAGAGCGGGGAGATCAGATGGCAGCGAGATCTTGGTTCTAGGTTCTCGAAGAGCTAGCGGATTAGTGGGGGGTAAGGTGTGGGTAGACCACGGTCTACCGACAAGGATATTCGAAAGAACAACGCCGAGGGCTTTTTCGATACCCGAATTCGGAATAGATGTGTGAGAGACAAAAAAAAGAACCAAAATGACACCGATAGCGAGGATGATTGACCGGAAGGATCGATGTAAGAGCCGATGGTGGCACACAGGACAAAATAGCGAAAGTGCTACCACTAGCGGGCACCCTGGAAGGGCGAAAAAACGACTAGAAGTAGCGCCTTGTAGATAGAGACTAATGAGATTTTGACGTTTGAAACTTCTAAGCCTCCCCTACATAAGGTTTTCTAGATATTCTAGAAAGCCCAAAAGAGGGAAAGTAGCTTAAACCGAGGCTCAAAACACAGAGTGTCAAGAAGAAAGATGCGAAAGGAGGGGAATTCACGTATTGAACTCGAAAAAAGGGCCAAAGCAGACAAAGTATTCTAAGTATTCTACGTATTTTCGAGTTACAAAATTACCAAAGTACTAATATTCCTAGATTCTCGGAATAACCGACTCTCTATAGCTCTACGTCAAGGAAAATTGAAATGAGACAGTCAGAACCCTTTCGGTTTAGGCGGCTCCAAGGGTGCCACATTCGGAATAGGGTGCCCAATGGTCTCGATTCAGAAGAAAAGTGAAATAGAAATTGTAGAAATTTTTTAAAGGCTCATAATAGAGTGGGTACATATCGGCATTGGGTCAAACTTGGCATATCATAAAAATGGCTGAGATCGTGCGGCAATTATAGTGATTCTACCATGTGGAGATGAGGAAATATAAAAATATATAAAAAAAAAACATCAAAAGATATAGGGGAAAATATAAAAATCCCCCCTATGCCCTCGATTCATCCGCTCTACATTTTTATATTAATGGCGAATCCTCCACAGGGATCAGGGATGCTACATTTGGTACCTAACATTCGTACGGAGTACATATTCGTACAACACTCTAGCCTTTTACGCGCAAAGGCCTCGAGATACCCACTCTGCAGTACTTTCTACGTGACCAATCTCATTCCCTTGACATTTAGATGAGACGTGCACCAATAAGGACTCTCGGGGTTTGCCGTGTAGGATTCAATACGATATACATTTACGGAGTACGAAGTACATAGTACGGCATCTTCTCCGGATAAAGTGAGATTGATATCGAAAGTTAAAATTTTGCAGAATAAGCAGAAGACCAAAATGTGAATTAAAAAAAGCCCATGTATCCTCAGTGGGTCCTTTAGGCTTCGGCCGGAGGGTGGAGCTGGCGATTCGATGCCTAGACGGGCAAATCCTCCTTGCCAGCGTCGGGGCCGCAGGGCTTATCTCACGTTTGGATAGCCTCTGGGTGACGATCGACCTGGCAAGTGGAGCAGGTTGTTTCGTCTGATTCCTAACTACGAACTATACTCTATAAAGATTCAAAGCCGAGACCATCTGAGGTTATTTTATGGATATTCTTAGAATAGGACGGTGATCTATACTGATTTTTCATGGGACATACGTGCAAAGTATGTTTTACACAAGATAACACAATTCCGAGGTTATTATATCCTTTATTCAACAGGGAACGTTTAAAGTCTCCCCACTTTGACCTCCAACGGCGATGCAACTCTAGGATTGACCACGTAGGTTGGTTTCAATTTCGTGGCGATCTGATCTGCAAGCCTTCGGGATGGCCTCAGCCCCTGGAGTGTGCGTTTGCGCTTCTAGGAAAGGCCCGAGATGAAAAAGTTACCCGTCGGGACTTCGCCGTTAATCATACTCCAACTCGGCAGTTTGGAGAAGCCAATTTACATACGGAGTTTCTCTCCCTTTTTCACGGGATCAAGTTTCTCCGAACAAATACCGAAATTCCAAAATTGGATGAGCGGAGGATTAATCCGAGTTGAAGTCCAATTACCATCAGCTATAAGGGCTTGAGACAACCCGTGATCCACTTAGGTAAGTTTATTCAGTTTCTACGTTAACTAGGTACACTTTCTATATGGCGTGATGGGCATTGAATAAAAACAGAAAAGCAATTACTACCAATTATAATTAACAAAACTTCTCAATCCCATAAGGTATAATTAATGCCACCGTGTTCTGTATTGCAACCTCATGTTTTGCATATTAGTGTCGGATTGACTCCCGATAGTGCCAACACGCTTTGGTCACCCCTGAACCGATTCGTAAGTGAGACATGACTATACTTAGACATCTCTGTGATCTGCGAATAGAGTCCAACATGAGACCCGGGCGTATATGTACCTCCAAGGTTCTATCCAGTGGACTTTTTCTCCTTACTCGTGCAGCTTATCTGTTCGGTTGATCTTACCGACCGTTCTCACGTTTTCTTTTTCCTTTCTTTTTTCTTTCTTTTTCTTTTTTTCTTCTTTGTTTCTTTACGGGATCGGATATTTTTCCCTCCGATCGCACTATCCTCGGTTAATATGTGTTCCTGAGCGATGTTGCATTACAATTTAACTGAGTGGATTGGACCAGGATTTGGCTTTACTAGAGGAATACAACAATACTTGAATTATCCCAGTCACTTTTATGTAATACCTACTTGTACATCCTGGAAACTTCCAGATACTTAACCTATAGGCTCTGACTTTACACACGTGAGACCTCAATCCCAACGTCATTGAACATGAAGCATCCACTAACTATCGATATACAACCCCAATGGTAATGAACTCCACCAGTCGGATCAGTAGCATCACAGCATGCAGAAGCGAAAAAGAAAAAGAAAAAGTCCAACTGACGTAAGTACCTTAGTGTCACAAAGTGCCTCAGACTATCAGCCGCGGACCCTGGCGGTCTTCTTGGCAATCCGCTCTCGCACGTCCCTGATCTCCGTGCCCGACGTCCAAAGCGGGCATCTCGCTTAGACAATCGGCTTTTGACATATTAGAATTGGGATTTCCGAGTTGCTTTGTCATGCATATAGCCCTAGATAGGTACGGAGGACGGAGTAGAGACCAACTTCAAAGGTGCATTGATGTTCCCACGCCACACCTATGCTGCCCAGCTATTTTGGAGGAACCAACGGGGCAAAACGAAAAGTCAATAAAATTGCAAGACATGTGAAACTGCCGAATGCTTCTTTGTCTAATTTCTCAATCTCCCGTGTCTCAGCTTGATGCTTCCAGGATTTAAATTGCTATTCCTCTATAAATGCCGGGTCTCACCAATATCCAAGACGCTAATCAATATCTTATAGGTCGCGTTTTATGGCATAGCTGTCATGTTGGGAACTGCGCTAGCTTAGCAAGGTATGCTGTATGTTTCACTCGGGTTTACTCGGCTTGCCTGGGATTATCCATGAATTAATTAGAATGGCTTCCATGTGCTTGCATCGAGCTCATACCTAGGTCCTTCGTACTCCGTACTGTACTATCTAGGCTGTAGGCTGTAAGGAAGCTTATAACATGTGATGTCTCAGTGGACACCTTGTCACATGCTCGACTGTTTTGTTCAAGGTCCATTGAGGTAGTATAGAGTGAGCTACAAGGTTAGCCGCACTTGAAGACTTGAAGCCTCTAGGTGTCCTTCTGGTGGAGGAAAAGCGAGCTAGATCTGTATCTAGGATTGCTTTAGACGAATTGCAGTGATATACTCGAATATTCGAGAGAATTCATTTCGATAATCAACATATTCTCTAACGATGGTGGGACCAAAATATTTACAATATAGCGCATTTGTACGACATGGCCATATTTATATGTAAATATATCCCGATTCTTTTTCTTTTTTATTCATTCACATGACAAGTCTAATTCCAAGATTATGAGTAGCTTCTGGTAATATTGCTAGAAAAGACATAGAAGTTGATTAGTTCTATGAGGGGAACGATGAGGTTCTTCCATGTTGTGTCGGATGGAGCCAGACACCTGAATTTGCGGTGAATATGTTCGGAAGCCACGAAGGATAATTGGGCGAGAAGGTAGACCTGGAAATATTGTAAGAATGTTCAGCGAGCGACCGGTAAACTACATGGGACAAGCAATTGGTTTCACTGGATACTTTGGAAGTGTTCGAAACAAGGACCATTCTCTTGACCGGAAGATCACTCGGCAATCCACCGTTAGCTTGAAGGCTTGGAGTGAGAGTAGAAAGGGCCTGGACTTAGTTGTTTGCATTGAACTTTGAAAAGGCAGTCATAATACACAATTGAAATAAGTTATGATCAGCAGAAGCATTGGCACAACTACGTCTATGTAAACGACGGCTTTGCGCAGACCAGCTTCAAATGTACACCCGACCCATCTACATTTACAACTTACCATGCACGATACAGAGAATTCGAGGGTCAGAAGAACACGGAAACCGATCACATTACTACTCCAAATAGACCCATGGGTATTGCAAAAAAGGCATTGATTCATTTTTGCTGACTACCATTTTGCCAACGAAACACAGTTAACAAAGAGCTAGCAGGGGGACAAAGAAAGACCCGCTTAGTTCTCGTGGAGAGTGCTGAGGAAAGCCTCGGCAGGAACAGTAGGCTTGCCACCCTCGACGGACTGCTGGCCAAGCTTCTGCTTGGAGTAGGCAGCGGCGTAGGGGTTGAGGCGGAGCATGACCTGCTTGTTGCGGAGAGGGTTCTTCTTCTGGACGTTGACACGCTTGGTGCGGGCCTCGCCCTTGGGAGCCTTCAGGACGGACTGGATTTCGGAGGAGTTGATGAGGCGGGTCAAGTCGGCGTTGGCCACCAGGTTGGAGGGCAGGAGGTAATCCCGCTTGAGAGCCGAGGGGCTGGTGGTGGTACCGTAGACCTGGTCAAGAGCCTGGAAGGCGGAGGAGGTCCAGATAACGAAGCGACCGAGGTGGCCACCGGGGGCGAGCTGGAGGAGGTTGAGGGAGAAGACGGGGGAGGTCTCGACACCGGGGATGTTGCGGAAGGCCTTGACGAGGTCCTTGCCGTCGGTCTCGGGGTTGTAGACAACCAGGGGTCCGCGGCGCTGGCGGAAGCGGCGGTTACGGAGCTTACCCTTACCAGCGCGCATCTTGCGGGACTTCTGGACCTTGACGAGATCGGGTCCGGCACCGACAGCCTGGAGGAGGGCGATGGCGGCCTTGGTCTTGTTCAGGGACTCGAAGACGGTGGACTCAACGACGAGGGGAACCTCGGGGACGTTGGCGACACGGTGACCGCGGGCGAAGAGCAGAGCGGGGGAGGCAGAGGCAGCCAGAGCGGAGGCGGTAGCGAAACGACTGTAGACGCGAAATTATTAGTTCCTCCGCATTTTCTTTCTCGAGTCGTTCAATTCCTTCAGAATGGGATTCCACATACCGCTGGCCAACGTTGACCTTCTGGTGCCACTTGCGCCAGACCTTGGTAGGGGCGAACATACGACCGGAACGGCACTGGTTACCGAAGGCAGCCTGACCGGCACGGTGAGTACCACCACCGGAGACACGGGGGATACGGGCGACAGCACGACCTATTCAACGAGAAACAATCTAGTCAGTTACTGTTCTCCATAAAGAAGAATTTGATGATCGCGAAAATTTTCGCAAACTCGGATCCGATTCTTCCAATCTCGAAAAATGGGCTGAAATCACGTACCGGTACCCCAGGACTCAGCAGAGGTCTGTTCACCAGCCTTCTCGCTGACGGCGTAGGGCTGGCGCTTGTTCTTGGCCATACCAGTGTGAACGTGCCTGTAGAGCGATGGTCAGCACTTCCCCTCCATGGATTTGCGAATCCTTCAAGTCTTTGGCGAGTCATACTGGACAATATCCGGGCGGATAGGAGCACCGAACACGGTGGGAAGGGGGTGGGAGGCCCCGGAGGGCTTGCCCGCAGCCGTGGCGATCGAGACAGTCGGGCGGGAGGCCATTGTTGCTGGTCGGTGTCGAAGTGAGGTTGAAGATCCAATCTCTCTGAGTCGGGGGGCTTCACAACTGGGTGTGGATTTTTTCGCTTAGTGAGAAAATGGAGTGGGGCGGCGAACCCTAAGCCCTTCCTGCCATTTGTGGACTAGTGCAACTATGTAACAATTATCTAATCGAAGCTATCACGTGGGGCCCACAAGTGGGGTCTTTGGCTACCATCTTGAACATCGAAGTCATCAAGTTCTACACTGATACAGTAACAGCTGTTAATATCTGCATTTTATTTCAAGGATACATCCCTCGGTGAAGCGGTCATTACCGCAACTGACGTCCTCTGTTACTCAGCTTGCTTAAATGTTCCCAACACCCATTGACAATCTTGGAAAGTAGTGTTGACTAACAACACAACTATTTGAGCACACTAATATCTACAGACTACTAACAGTACAATATCGAGTCACAGTATACAAAAATGATATCGTTATATGAAACCAATGAGATGTCCTATTTTCCTAGTCTCATCTCCTAAATGTACAGGCAAGAAAGGGACATATAATGCACCGAAAAGCAAAAGGACCAGCCCTACAGAAAAGAAAGGTCATGAGAGAACATAATCAGGAAAAACCACCCAAGGATAGAAAAAAAAAGTACAACATCCGAAGCCAGCGGATCATGTTGCGTATCTAACTAAGGTGGATGTGGTGACCACTGAGGGTGCGCTTGCGGAAGCGCATGCTTGAGATATGACGCGCCTTCTTACTGGCAGTGACAACAAGCTCCTCGCTCTGACCAGCGTTGCACTGCGTACCGGTTGACATCGGCTGGGCGGTGGACCAGGTGCCAGAAGCACAGCGCTGGAAAGAGGTGCCTGCGATGCAGTTCCACTGGCCCTCGGTACTGCAGCTACCTGTTAGGGTACCGGAGCTGGAGCTGGAGGTAGATCCCAAGTCGGAGGCTGAAGAGCTTGTCACGGGAGCTGGGGCAGCGGTTGTGGACGCGGGCTCGGGCTCAGACACGGGCTCGGTGGGTGGGTTTGATGGAGCAGCAGCTGGGACTGGGGCCGCGGAGGCGGCAGCAGCGGGGGCGCTCTCTACGGGGGGAGAGGAAGAACCAGAAGAAGCAGAGCCGGAGGAAGCAGAGCCAGATGAAGTGGAACCAGATGAACTGGACCCAGCGTCTGAACCAGAGCTGGCGGAGCCCGAGGAAGTATCACCAGAGCCGCCGAACCTGGCGGTACCGACGCAAGCCTCGGAGCCCGCCTCGGCGAGATTGGTGGGTACACCGTCATGCTCGACATAGTCACCGGACTGAGGGAAGCGGATATCGACACCTTCCTGTGTTAAGCAGCCATTGATGTTTGCGACGAACATGGGAGGGAAGCTAGCAGCGCGTCTCTCAAGTTCCTCGGGAGAGCGCTTGGAGGAGCCACCCGAGACAGTAATTGGGGCGCAGTTCATGTACATCTCGCGGTTGCCGATGCGGTTGAACCAGGTCCAGGCGAGTGTGTATTTGCCAGCGGAGATACCGTCGGGAATGGTGAAATTGAAGCTATAGGGATCGATGAGGTCGGGGCCGCCGGGAATGTTGCCGTCGACATTGGCAGGGCAGCCGCCCTCGAAAGACTTGATGACTTTCCACTCGGAGGACTTGGAGGGTTGCAGGTCGGTGGTCAGACTGATCTGGCAGGAACCACCGCCGTGGGTGGCGCTACCGACGAAGGTAAGAGGGGAAGGACTCGCCGATGGCGATGGTTGTCTCAGTGGATGGGGCCTCGAAGGCGTTATCGCGAAGCTTGCATGGGAAGTCACTGCCATCTTCTAGCAAAGGCGAGTTGTTGAGAGTGTCCTTGCTGAAAGGGGTGGGGCTGCTCATGATCATGTGGGCGTTGACCATGGAGGCGCCCATCAGGGCAGCGATGACTTTGGAGCTGATGAACATCTTGGATGATTGAACTTTTGGGGTTGCTTGATGTCTGGTTTAACAGAGATGTTGCAAATGGAATCGATTCGTGCCAGACGAATGGAATTCAGGTGTAAAAAGGAGTGGACCTTGTAGTTGAGTATTAGTGTTGGGATAAGATACTTGGAAATGCAAGAGACAAGTTGAGATGGAAGGGCCCATGAGTATATATATCGACAGTGGCTCATTGATGGGTCTATTGTAGGCAAGGAGTATAGACGGAACTATCCCTCAACAATAGGTCATAGAGCTCCCGCAATAGAGAGGTGTATCGATCTGAGGCAGCAATGAAACAATGGGAGAAGCACAATACCTTTGTGTCAAAGTGAATGAAACGAACTGGTTCAAATTCTCACTTAACCCTAATCTCTTTGTTGATGAACAATAGCGACGGCTTCTTTGTTTTATTTTGATATCAAAGATGAGCTCCAAAAAAGGAATGTATACGATATTCTGCCACAGGCAAAAATCAAGCAAAAAAAGGAAAGAGACACAGGTCTAGCCTGAATGTCGAGTATAAGAAAAGAAGAGAAGGGACTGTACTGAAGGAAAAAGAGAAAGGCCATGGAACGCCGGCGTCAAGGATTATTATATATACAGACATGGGGGTACTCTCGGGCCCTTCCATCTCCAGAAACCTGAATCCCAGCCTCTGAATGGCCCGATGCTGTGTGCATGGCAATTAACCAGACACACACTTGTTATTTCCGAAAGTCCAGAGACATCTGCTTGGTCGATCGAGTCTCCGTATATCCACCATTATCTGGAGGGTGGGGAAGGTCTAGGGTAACAGGGGATGTTTCAGAACTTCTCCCATCGAGGTTAAGATGTTCCGGTGAAAAGCTGAATACTAGTCCAAAAAATAAAAGATGACCAGTAGGAAGATCGGAACGCCACCCTCGCAGATACCCGCTAGACTGGCGGCTGGAGAGGAGCCAACCACCGCACAGACTGTAAGGTACAAGACTTTCCACCCCCTGGATTTGTCGCACCATCAACCGCTGGCACACAAACTACTTGTGGATTGGCTGTCGTTGTAGCCGCCCAGGTTTTTTTCCCCGACTGGCTTGCCAATTACGAACATGTGTTTCATTCTCACCGGAGTCCGTACTCCGTATATTGTACGACGTTGCTCATTAGGCCTCCCCTTACCCATATGACGCAGTGAAACAAAATGTCTAACTAGGCATCCTCCCGAGGTCTAACGCCGGCATTTGTGTGTGGGGTACAGAAAGTCTTCCCTTCGCCCCCTTCCGCCAAGTCTTGTCTTTCTTGGCTTTAGAAAGTTCAACCAGCTAAAGTGTGAGCGTTATTAGATGCTGTGACATATCCGAAGGGAATGTGTCAACTGTGATTTTCAACTCTCCAGAGATGTCAATTTTGGATGTATACTAATTTTACAAGCGTAGTGCAGGATCATCAGGATCATCAGGGTTATACACAGATCCACAAAATGTACTTGGCGGATTTCAACTCTAGAAACCATATGGAAGCCATCAAACCCATTGTCTACGTTGTACTTCGTTACCTAAAAGAAATACCTGCATTCCTTAACAAATGAGAACCATTGTGTTAGCAATCCCTGTAATTTCTAACAGACCGCAATACTCGGCTGGCCTAAAAGTAGAACGGGATAGGGATCTGCGGTCGCGGTTTGTCGCGATTTCAAAAATAAAACTTGAGACTCAATCAATGCTCGTATCTAGCCTCGCTGTAGTTAACCCGTTGGTCTGTCGTCTACTATAGTAGCAGTTGGGTTCGGTTCGCTCTGACTGCGAACTGAACTATATATATATGGACCTTGTATATTGCAAACAACTCCCCGCTCCCCCTGAACACTATTTTTCCAATATTTCCCCTTATTACTTCATGGTAATTAAACCTCTGGTCTATCGTAATCAAATCATTGATCTAGTTACTCTCCGCTCTTTGCTCGTGCATGACTATTTCGATCTAAGCGCCTACAGTGGGTATACCTTAAAAAAAATAGGCATGAGACCCTGCAGTAAAGTCCGCATGACGATTCGCATCAGCCCATCCAGCGCACACGGTTTCGTCTCCTAAATAAGTCGGTGACTACTGGCAACCTCATATCCTAGAATAGATGCAATGGAGATAAAATGAGACAAGCCCTCGTACAGTCTGAACTTAGTCTAAAGTGCGAATAAACTTGGCAGGGACTCCACCAAACAGACATCCAGGTCCAATATCATGTGTAACTACAGCCCCTGCTGCGACAGTTGAACCCGCTCCAATATGTACACCATCTAAAATGGTCACCCTCGCACCGATCCAGCAATCCGACTCTATGATTATCGGACGAGCAAAGGACGTGCCACTAGCTTCTTTGCGGTCCCTTGATGCAACCTGATGCGTACCTGTGCAGATACAAACGCCTGGGCCGACAAGGACACGGTCACCGATTTGAACGAGTGCATTGTCGTAGAGTGAGACTCTGCAGGTTTTCCCCATAAGACTTCCATAAAAAATAGATTTTGGACAAAAGATTAGCTCGGGACGTGAACTCACTCGCGATTAATGTAAACATTATCCCCGATAAACACATTACAGCCCCATCCAACGAAGAATGGGGGCTCGATTGTAACTTCCTTGCCAAGTTGGCCAAGCAGGCTTTTGGCTACAGCCATGCGACGCGTCTTTAATGACGTTAACGTGCTACCATCGGGAATAGAAAGGTCGTTGAAATCGTTGAGTTTCTTCAAAGTTTGGAGTTTATAATCCTGAAGTTCTATAGACCTAGATGCCGAGAAACTAGATATATTTGTTAATTCATCTTTCATCTGCAGTTATAGCAGGCCACTAGTGGACAAACTTCATTCCACTAATCATCTTCTCATATTCGTCGCACCAAGGCACTGGAACGTGACTTTTTTTGAGCTCTAATATCATCGATGGACTTGTTGCTGAGGATGACATAGTGAGTAGAGTGGAATATTAGACTTAAGACAATGTAGTTTATTATTGGGTTGGAACAGTTGTGCTGGCAAGCATGCACATGATCAGTTTGCCCTGTTTGCAGGGAACCAGATATCGAAGTAGATTTGTTTACGGGTTGATGCAAGCCTTTCGATGGCGTGCACTATCGACCCCATTCAACATTTGCCGAGCAACGATTTTTTGTCGCTTGTTGCGGGTGCAAAATTGCCTTCAGGGTGTGGCACACATGTCACATTGACCAAGTCCTCCGTGGGCGCCAAAGCAGACTCGGCAGCCTTGCATGTGAGCTGCAAATCTGCCTAATGATGTCGTGGCTTCCAGCTCACAGACACGACTCAAGTGAAAAGTTCTTTGTGTCTACATGAGGTCCAGGCATTCCCTGTCGACAGTAATCTGTAGATAACGTCGCATGCTGGGGGCCATGCACCACCACTTTCCCACTGTGGTAAATCGTAGGATAAACATAAAAGTCTCAGATACTTTCCGGGGGGAAAGTTGTATCCGGAGATCTAGTGCGATTGATGCCTGCTCGAGGTTTCATCAAGCACCCTGGTCATGCAGACACGGGTGTTTCATGTTATCCGACTCGCACGGGCCAGACATCCCCGTGTAGATGAATCCAATGCCAGGATTCCGATCCAAAATCATCAGGGAGATCACCAGTCCCCTCATTTCTTGCCCTTCTTCTTTCCTTTCTCCGCCGCAGCCTCCTCCTTCTCCTTAGTAAACCCGCCCTTAACCAAAGCATCCCGACCAACATCATTAATGAGTCGGAACCGCGCCGGACCAAGTTGAATACCCCCGTACCACCGCGTAACAACAACCACAACGTTCCAAACATCCATCAACTGCATGACATGCAATAGTCGTCCCCCAGCAGCAGTCTCCCCATCATCATCATAATCCTGAACAACAGTCTCCCCTTCCCCACCCCCATCCCCACCCTTCCTCTGCCGAATGCGCCAAGCGCTAATATTATGCGTTGCAGCCGCAACCTTCCGATCCGTAGCCGTAAGATGATCAATAAAAGCCTGTGCCTGCGCAAGACAAGTAACACGGGCAACACGGCCCACGAATACCGATTTCTTCTCGCTGACGACGTCTGAGAGTATCCATTCGGGCGGGGTATCGATGCCGAAGGCGTCGCGCAGGGACAGGGTTTCAAAGGCGTCTGTGGCGGTCGACGCGTCGACAGTCGGTGTCTGAGTAGATGAGTCGACATCATCCTGCCCGATACTCAGTTCCGGGAATACGTCCACGGCTTCACTGATTACATCGAATAGACACACGGCGCCGGCCTGCCAGGTCCGTTGTACGATATCCTCCAATACATCGATGGCGATCTTGCCCTCCCCGCGTGCGGCTGTCGATGCTGTTCCCAGTACGGCGGGTCGGGAGTCTGGGTATGAGGCTTCGAAGCCGAGGATGAAGGATAGATGGTGTTGTTCTGGAATTTGGAGGGTTACCACTGTGGTATGGATGTTGTTATTGGAGTGCGCGGGACTCCCTAGGTCGAGGGTGTTGGTTGTCGCGTTTGCGGGGGTTGTGCGGGTTACGGTTATTGTGTCGGGCTCGTAGATGGCATTTACTGCTTCGATTTCTTCGGCGAGGTCTTGGTTTTCGGGAATTAGAGCCATTGTGCCGGTTGGAGAGCTTGGAGCTCGTGCGGGGTGAGGGTTTAATTAGTTATTTGTGAGAGTTAACCTCATAGTTTGTTCAGGCATAAAGGCATCAAGGCACCAAGGAATTCAGGCAGAAATTTTCATGTGGACTAAGAAAGCTTTTAACGTAATCGGTAAGCGAGTCGGCCATGTAAGCCAGCCGGCCACCCAGTCTAACATACTAAGTTTAAATGGATATATCATAGCCACAACGCCATTAAATTAATGTAACTAAATTCATTTATCTATTTGGACATGTTTCTCTCCTATGCCCCGGCTGCCTACATATTCCACAGGCTCGCCCGGCCCGTATAGGTGGCTGTAAACCCTCCGATACCTGCTCACGATAGGTATTGATACGTGCAACTTGGGCCTCGAATGGTTCCCCACGTAGCTCACGAACCTCCTGGACTGAAAGATCTCCTTCGTGGACTATCGTCCTCGTAGACCGAGTCCGCTTTTGCTTCTGCTTCTCGTTGGCGGCGCGTAAATCGCTCACTTCTTTCTCAAGTAAAGCGGCGGACTGCATTGTGATTTGACAGGCTTTTAAAACCTTGTTTATCGCGCAATTTAGCGGGCTCGGAGGGCTCTTTGATCTAGCACGAAGTAAAGCTTTAATTGACGAAGCTTGCTTTTGTAATTGCACGTAGTTCGAGGGCGTTTTTGGGTCCCAATCGCTCCCCCTACTCGGAGGGGGGTCGGGGTTCGAAGACGGATATTTAGCTTCGAGATCACTCGATTAGGTGCAAAAGGTATTAAGCCAGCTGCTCCGAAGCTATTCTTAATAGTCTCCGATTTAAAAGCTTCGATTCGTGCGAGGGGGTATGCTTCAAGGAAGTCAAGTTTATCGATATGGTTGATCCCGTTCCGCATTTTCATTTCAACTAGCCGACCATATGATCGCTTTAACACAGCAAAACAACCGATATCCAGGGGTTGTAAAAGATGAGAGGAGTGCGGAGGCATACAAATTGGTATAACCTTATTTTGCTCGCAAATTTCATCGAATTTAGGGGTCAAATGGCTTCCATGTCCGTCGAGTATTAGGAGACGATACCCCCCTTCGTACGCGAAGAAGTGCTAGGAATAAAGAGCTTTTCAAGCCAACGAAGTCCAATTTCATCAGAGGTCCAACCGTTCGGACTAACTTCAAATCGCCAGTCATCCGGAAGGCCATCAAACCATGATTCAATAAAGACTTTGCCTTTAAAAATGATACACGGAGGGAGGGCCCAACCCGACGAATTTGTACACTCAATAGCAGTCACCCATTCGCGATTTCCAGGTTGTAAAAGCGAGCGCCGGCCGTAGAATTCGCTCCTTGTAATCACCTTCGCTGTAGCGATTAGCCCCATCGCGAAGCCGGTCTCATCGAAGTTATAAACGTCATCGGGGTGGATTCCAAATTGGAGGATTGTTTTTTGAACAAGATCGAACCACCCTTGGATGATTTTCGGGTCTTCGCACTTCGCACGTTCGTAATTATAGCGTCTCGAGAATCGGGATGAGAGGAGAGGGTGTCGTTTCACAAAGTTATAAACCCATTTTTCGCCGACCGAAATAACCGGGGTGGTTCCACGTTGTTGAAGTAAAAGGTTCGCCATTTCTCGTACAGTAGAAGGCCGGGGGGCAGATCCACGAGAGTCCATAGAGAGAACCCATCTTTGAAGAGATTCCTCTTCATATTCGGTCAATTTATGCGAATTTGCGCGACAAATCGCGCGATTTTGGTGGCCACGTAGTCGGTCTTGAAGTGTTGAACGTGGTATGTTAAAAACGCGTGCCACTTCGCGAATTGAAGAGATTTCTTTCTTTTTAAAAGCTTCAATAGCTAATAAAACCCTACCCTCTTGCTCTGCTGAATTGCTAGAGGATTGGGAGCGAATTGGTGGCATGGTGCGCGGTTGAATTGACTAAGTGCTAATCTATGGACGCGTTTTGGGCTGGGTGGCCGGCTGGCTTACATGGCCGACTCGCTTACCGATTACGTTAACTAGTTATGATGGGCATAAAGTAACTAATGAAAAGATTCAAATAATAGCATCCACTTTCTTTGGTATTGTGTGATGAAAGTTCAGCCTCAGAAAATATGTGTTTTTCCTTTGCTAAGTTGTATCAATCTTCAGGACTTTTGTTTCGTTTTCATTCAGGAGCTTCATTGTACAGCAATCTTCTTTCTCGCAAACCCAAAGGAAAATGGTCTTTCACAAGGCCCTGGGCTCTCGCACATCAAATGTGATCCTTCCAGTATCGATGACCGATGGAAAATGGGCATAGTCCTCACAAGGTCAAAATCTTCAAACTCGTTGTCGATGTCGACCGAATCGTAATTGTCCAATAGCACGGGTTAGCAAAAATGCCAGCTGCCCCACCAATGGCACTGATTATCATAGTCCACTGCGTGATGTTGGGTGTGCTTAATAGCTTAATGGCGACTGGATGATACGTAAGTGTGTGACAGTAGGAGGATTTAGGGAGACCATCGGATTTCTCATATAGAGGTCTACCGCTATACGTCATCGTAATTACCATAATCCACAGTGGACATATGGGCGTAGTCGTTATATTTCCGTTCAAGGGTTTGGACTAACCCTCCCCTGGACCACATGTCAAACGACAAGCGGCGAAGTCCATAGGGCAGACGACTACCCATGTAGCACGTTGTGCATGGACAACATCTTGTCCCCTGATTTTGGAAGTCTGACCTCCCTCGGGTATGTCATTTTTGCCGTGGGCTCGTGGGGATGGTTGTCCGCGTAATTTCCTTGGTGAGTGTACATCTGTCGGTCCACAAGGAAGAGGTCGATGAGCTAGCAAAGGGCTGAGCCGCAGCGTATATACCTAGCTCATGGGATGGTCGAGGATGCCCGAAGATAATATCGTGGGCGAAAGTGTGTTGGGAGGTTTTGGTGTGAATCTAAAACAATAACGAGAAAAAAGAAAGTCGGCATCAGCCATAACGCTTCTGAGAGGCCACAGAACGTAGGTAAAATTTGGTAGATTAAAACAAGACAAGAAGAGTCAGCGTCGAGAGGAAAGGTGTCAACATGAAGAGATGGTATGAATAGTGGCGAAGCAGGGAGAATGGATACCTTGAGTAGTTGGAGGATTCTGAAACCTGAGAATACTGGAAGGAGCGGCTCTGTTCCTGACTTGATCATGGGAATAGAACATTGGAACAATATATGCATGAGTCAGGCTTGGCCTCTGTACATGAATGGGTTTAAACAATGTACAACAAGCATTAAAGAGGTTGAGACGATAATGTCCTTGATTTTTGATGGACTCTGCGGTACCAAAGGTAAAATGCCTAAGTACATGAAACTGGAAACCTCTTCCAGTAGAAACCAAAAAAAAAAAAAAAACAACAAATCTTTCAATCATTTGAAGAGACAACGAGGCAGGCAAGTGTTGATTGAGCGCACATCCCTAGCATGAGGATACCAAAACATCACTGGTGTGGCCGCTAGTTTTGGAATTCAACGGACTGCTCCCAAATCCTGCATACATTGCAATATCCATCCTCCTCATCCCATATTCTCTGTGTGTACCCCCAAGCCTCTCTCCCATAGGTGTAGTGGAGTCCATTCCATGATCGACCAAAGGTGACATCCTTCCATCTAATGATTCCATGGCTGTTCAAATATCCCTCAAGGCGTGTGCCTGTGGTGCTGGGATATGTGCCTTCTTTTGTTTTGTGTGGCTGTCCCGGTGTGTGCTCGCCGAGCGAGGTTGAAAGGTTGCAAGACATGTTTCTTTTTCTCTTTTTGCTTTTATATGGCTGTCCTGGAGTGTGTTCCTCGAGTAAGGCTGCACGGAATTTTCCTCCTTTCCTTTTTGGGGCTGTCCCGCGAAGGCTGCATGGTTCCCCGATGGTGAAGAGTATTGTGTATCAAGATGTGGTTTAGGTTTTCTGTCGATTTGGTCTGTGCCACACTTGGCTTGTGTGTGTCTGTGTTCGTGTTTGTCTTGTCACGAGGTACCGATTAATTATTTGAACCGTTTCATCAAGAGGTGGTGTAGTCTTTGACTTGGGATTGGATAAGACCCAAAGTTGGAAGTGCTGAGATCGATGATTGGTTTGGTCATTACCATAATATCACGAGGTGGTTGCCTCCGAGGTTGTCTGGGAGAGGCACGCAGGAAGCCTTCATACCCTTATGGTAACCGTATGACAGTTGGAATCTGGCATGACTGGGCGAGGCATCATAGCATGGGCACGGTATCCGCACTGGACTAGGTGGATGGCGGGATGCAATGACAGTCGGAGATATGGGATTTCCAATTGAAGTTGAATGAGCAGAATATGGTTTTGGTGTTTGTTGCAGACTAAACCGATTCGAAAGCCTGGAGGTTTCGTGGGTGCATGGACGGTGCCTGGTGAATGGAAGTGTTGGCAGTGGCAAAAGAGGACCATAATCATGAGCTTGGTGCCTCAGTGAACGGTCATGGTTGAATTGGAAGGCGTCGAAAGAGCCCAGTGAAGTCAATGGGAGATCTGAGATATTGGAATTAGCTTTAAGCTTTCAGGACCGGCCTTGTAAATCTCACTAAAGCATTGTGGATGGTTGATTGTGGATGTTTGAAATGAGTGCTTGAAGTGGCTGATTGAAGTTGATTGAAGTTGACTGAAAGGAGTGTTTGAAGTGGTTGATTGAAGTTGATTGAAGTTGATTGAAGTGAGTGCTTGAAGTGGTTAATTGGTGGGTGGTTGACCAGCCTGCCGATTGTCCTGAAGCCGAAGCCCGCCACGGCCAGACTGTTGTTCGAAGTGGTTGCTCGAAGTGGTGGTTGATCGAAGGTCGATTGACCAGTCTGCCGATTGTCCTGAAGCCGAAGCCCGCCACGGTCAGACTGGTGGTCGATGCTCGAAGTGGGTGCTCGAAGTGGGTGCGTGTTCGACGTGGTTGTTGACCGGAAGTTGATTGACCAGTCTGCCGATTGTCCTGAAGCCGAAGCCCGCCACGGCCAGACTGGTGTTCGAAGTGGTTGCTTGAATTGGGCAGTTGATTGATTGGGGGTGGTTGACCAGTCTGCCGATTGTCCTGAAGCCGAAGCCCGCCACGGTCACACTGGTGGTCGAAGTGGATCGTTGGCTTTGCTCAAATCCAATGAGAAGTGGAGCAACCGTGGAAGGCATTGTGATGAGAGCCAATTGGTGGCAGTGGGTTGGCAATGTATGAGACTCTGTGTGCATGAAGCTCCAGTTGACTGTTGTGGACATGCAAGGAAACATAAGGCTGTTGCAAGAGGGTCGTCTGCAGGCTAGGTCTTGCTTTAGGTGTTCAGAGATGCGGTCATGTGTGGTCAGGTGTACAAGATGACCATGTCATAAGCACAGATGGAAGGAGACTTCATATAGAAGCTCCAGATTGGAGGGTTGTCATTCACAATTGTGAGATCCACAAGTCTGAAAAAGTTAGCTCCATGTGATGAAGGTTGATGGAGGATGGTGAAGGATGGTGGCAGGGGAAGAATAGAGGAAGGCTGATGGGGGTAACATGAGGGGAGGGGGGAGGATGTAGCCATATGATACTCACGGTTGTAGTTCGAACATGAGAAGGCAAGCCATATCAATCAAGTTCATGTGCCATTGAGGCTGTGAGTCAAATGTTGGTTAATCCAGGGCTGTGAGAGTTACCTAGGTAGTGTAAGGTAGACATACCAATGGGAGTAGACATCATGGGTCGAGTGGTCATAGAAGAAATCCATGCGGCACGTTGGTGCCATGGTCTGTCAACAGAGGCAGTTCGAGGGAACATGCATGTAGAGATGAGAGATGATGGAGGATGGTATGGGACCCAAGTTGATGATGGAATGTACTTGGGAGTGATGAAACCCCTGATGGAAAAAGGGGGAGGGTTGGGGTTGATGAAATGGAAGAAGAGGAGGATGGGGAGTTGAAGAAGGAAGAAAAAAAAGAGGAGGAATTGGGGGGAGGGGGGTATTTATAGGTTGGAGAATAGGTAGGGGACTGACCGTATAGGAAGGAGACCGTTAGGGAAGGTGCGACTCGTGTGGAAGGTGCGACTCGTGTGGAAAATGCAACTCGTGTAGTTCCCTTGCACCTGCCATATTTGAACTACACTGCTGGGCTGAGTGGTATTGAATAACCAGATCGAGGGACCTCGGGCCCCTTAGGTGCAAGTTTCCAGTCCAGTGAAGATCCTATAAAGCAAGAAATTTGTATAAGGTAGAGGTTTAAGCACTTGAAGCTTTTCTCTATGATAGATTGCGCAACCGGGGTCGAAGAAGCACTAGGTTCTGGTTCTGGCACAGCCTTGAGATGAATCACACCGAGAAGATGTACACCTTGATCACCTTGTCTATTTGCCTAAGCTCACGACTGGTGGAAGAGTTTCCCTTATGGTCTGTCTCCATGAACCATCCGAAGGACAATATCAATGCACCTGAGCTTTACTGGTTCCCGTGAAGCCACATTCTGACTCGTTCTCTCCCCGGTATTGACATCGACCAGTGAAACAAGTCTCCCGGAAGCATCATTAAAGGTTTGATTGCGAACAAGAGACCTTCATTCGCACCCCCAATATCTGTGGGCTTTAGCATATGGAACTCAATCGCTCACCCAATCCCATCCTCTACAGCTACAATGAGCGCTAACTGAAACTGCATATATGCGAGACAATGCAGAGGACGAAGCCAGTCAAGATGAATCGGACGTTGCCCCAGTCACTACTTTACATTAACGGAGCATCGAGCATCATCTCCCCCCTGTGCGACTGCCGGGGAGAACCTATCGACAGTTTTACAAAGTCAATCTCCGAAGAAAGGAAGTAGGTGGGCTGTTCTCTACAAGGCGAGGAGACTAGACGGGCTGAATATTTCTTGGTTGCCATCAATGCTATATTGTCTGATGTTCAAAGAGTTTATTTCCTTGGGAATGCTCTCATGGGACCATACCATATGGACGAGCGTTCAACAGATACCGATACATTTATAATAAACAAGAAGCTATTGGCACTCAAGTGAGTTGTTTTAAACATCAATTCTAATATCGTTTAAAATCCTAAGATGTCTTTTTCGATCTCTTCTTCGATGTCGTTTCCCAACTTGTCTCGCGTTCGCTTCATCATAACAGACACCAAGCCACGATGGATTGAACTGAGAAACTGGATCCTGCTGAGAAACTTTCTTCAATATGATACATAGAATCAAAGCCGGTGATAAAACAGTGATGTAAGAAGCCGAGTTGTCGTGATGATTTCAAAAAAAATACCATGCTTGTCGATGACTGAGATATGGCCAATGTGCGAGATATTAGCGTGGTTGCGTTCTCAGTACAGCCCGAACGACTCCCTCAAGGCATTCTAAATCAATTTAACCAAGAAACCTAACCTGTCTTTCGTGGGAATTGGCAGTATTCCCACGCGAACAAGACGGTACATTCGTGTGGCTTCTGTTCCCATGGATGCTGTTGTGGTACCTTTCACCAGTAGACTGGAAAAGCTGGTCAATTCGGACTTCGGCGAAATTGAACGGCAATGTCGAATGGCGACGGTGAGGTCAATACTGCGACAAAGGCCCAAAAGTCTAGGAAACGGTTGGTTAGTATAGTTGTTTCCGCCAAGTGCAATCAGACGGAACCGGACCTCGGGAGTCTTGACTTTCTCGGACGCTAGGAACGCCACCAATCATGTCTTTTCCGTCGTCATTCGGTATTAGGCCTGTGATCCCTGGCCTGATTGTCACACAGTGTCGGACGAACAGCACGGATGGAACATAGTTTGAAACGCCCAGATCACATTCGAAGATTTTCCCTGCATTAGTGCAATTTATGTAAATTTCTCCGAATTTGACCAAGGCAGATTTGAAGAGATCGCGTTGCCACCCAGATGTGGAGATCGTCACGCGTGCCGTCCACATGATTGGGTGCTTCGTTGCCTTGGCTGCCTGACGGATCCGTTCTCTCTTCCCCAGATCTCATCTCGTATCTTGTCTTTCTTCCCATACCTCTTCATTTTTGCATTTATTTCCTCTATCTTTTCATGTTTTAGGTCTAGCACGGTTAACCCGCTCTGTTCGCTTCAGGGCGTCCCTGGTGATCTTCCGCGCTACATACCAATCAACGGAGATCCCCACTGCCTATCACAACGCTAGCGCCCATCAGCCACCGACCGCCGTCATACCTTGTACCCCATCGTTCGTTCCGTTAATTCTAGTTTCTCCAACTGCACCACACTTTCACTCTGAGCCAACGCTTCGCCATGTATGGAGAAGGCCGAGAGGAGGCCGCCAGGCTATATGTCCCACCACTGCTTGAAGATGACGAGCGTCTTAACGATCCCGACGCTTCCGAAGACTTGCCGCCGCCCGATGTCGAGGCAGGCAGCGCGCTTCCTGTCTGGCTGCGAGAGTCATCGAAGTCATTTCGCTGGGGGTGGGTACCGCTACCGATCCGCAAGGTCGGTCGCGCGACCGCCAATTGGGTCAAGGGTCCCGACCCGCCGCATATGCTTCTGTTGAAGCCGCTGTTTCCGCGAGTCCAAGAGCTTCCAGTGCAATATTTTGACCATCTCTTTCCTAAGCGCAAATTGAAGACTTCACTTTTATTGCTGCTCTATACATCTTGGTTCTTGCCGTGGTTTTTGGTTCTATTACACTCGCGCTCTTCCGGTTACATCGAAGGATATGGTCAGCCTCAGACGCTGTCCTGCTCGACGAACTTCTGGTACATACCGAAACGGAGCCCCATTTAGGTACAAAACTTGCTAATGCGAATGATTTAGGGAATTCGATAATGGGTGCGGTATTAACGGAAACGACTGCCGTCCATTTTCTTCTTCGACTATTCCCTTCCGGTGTCCTGCGAATTGCCGTGATACCAAATTACTGGAGCCTCACATTGTGGGAAATCATACATACAACTACCAAGGCCTAGTCGTTGGAGGACCTAAGCCGGATTCCTCCGACCCGGCACTTTACCGTGCAGATAGCTTTATCTGCCAGGCAGCAATTCATGCTGGTGCAATCTCGAACGATGGTGGCTGCGGTGTTGTCAAACTTGAGGGTGCAGCGCACTCTTTCCCATCAGTCAAGCAACATGGCATTCTCTCTGCAGGGTTCCCATCAACCTTCCCCAAGTCTTTCAGCTTTCTCCAGTTATCCTCGCCGCAAGCGAGCTGCCCACCGGATCCACGCTGGACGCTCCTTGGAATCACCGCTGCTGCCGTTGGTGTCCTGTGGCTCTTTTGTACATCGCCACCTGTACTGTTTTTCAGTACATTTTTCATGGTGTTCTGTCACACGGGACTTGTTGGAGACCCGCCCTCGTATCCTTTCTTGACCGACCTTGTCTCCAGTCTTCTGTCACGGCTGCTGCCAGCATCATTTGTCGTCTACGTACTTTACAAGTTTTGTGCAGCGCCGCTTTTGCAGCCACTCTCCTCTCCTATCTACCAGCTTTCAAAGTTGTTCCTTTTCCTACCTCCGCTTTTCATTGGAGCCCTGAACAACTATACCTTTGCGCGCTTGATTCCCTTGCAGCGCCTGACCCCGATGGATATTCAGAAACAACCCGGGGCAAAGTTGGCATTGGCTTTTGTCATCCCAATTGTGATTTCGGTTATCCTGAGCCAGGCGTGGCAAATTCGCCAGGGAGGTCTGCTCCCACGCTATTTGAAGATATACTGTACCATGGGGCTCATCATCTTGATTTTGCTTCCCCTCCCTGGTCTTCGCCTTCGAATCCATCATTATATCCTCGCCATTCTCCTCATGCCAGGAACCGCATTTCCCACTCGACCCTCGCTTATCTACCAGGGTCTGTTGCTGGGCCTTTTCATCAACGGAGTTGCGCGGTGGGGCTTCGCCTCGATCATCGAGACTCCGGCAGCTCTAGGAGAGCAAGCACCGCTTGGAGATGGAATCCATGGATGGTGGGGTGCTACCTATCCCAATATCACGACCGCATCTGTGAATATCTCCCTGCCAGAGCCGGGATCGGACCACATTTACCGCGGCAATGGCAACATCACCTTCGCTCTGTGGGAACACGAGCGCATGACAGATTTAGCGGTAGACGGCGTCTCGGTTCTTCTCAATGACGTAGAGCGCTGGCGCGGTTATCTCGATGAAGACAAGAGCGGAGAATTCACCTGGCACCGCCATGGTCACGATGGCCTAGAGCTACAGACAAATCCTCGTCTGGTCAATCGTGATTTGGACACTAACCTTGACACCAGTTCGGTTCTTTTGGCTGATAGTGATTCTGATGATAAACCCGAAGATCTATTTTTCCGATTCGCATTTTTGAGAGGCTCCGAGGCTGGCACTTACAGCCCGACAGGAGTCTGGCTGAGCGATGGCGCGTGGTGGCCCCCTGCGCCTCCAAAGAAATAGATTGCTTCCCCTCTGCATTGGTCATTAAGGTTGTTTTCGCGTTTATATCCAACCACTTGGCAAGAGAGAATATACACTTCTGGTTCATGTGTGCTGGACGCGCTGTGCTCATTGGAGTAATAGAACAGGGACGTCATTTTTCGGATCGCTCTCGTTCATGATTGGTTACATTAAATGAGGATATCAGTGGACATATTATGCTTAAAGATAGGTACTTAGAAGGACTTCACCCACAAGGGTTTATACCGCCGTGCTAGCAATAAAATCGCTGTGCTAACAGTATTCCAGGTTTTTATTAATCTTGGTGATGAATCTACTATCAGATAAGGCTATGTAGCAATAGGAAGAAGAGCGAGAACACAAAGTCAAAAACGCACCTCTTTCGCCACGCGATCGAGATCGAACTCCAGTTGTAAGCCAAGACTCCAATAGTTTGTTGACATCGATCTCGGGAGATAACCGAGACACCCTGTGATTCCGCTCATGGCACTACATCGGTTCCGCGATATAGTGATGTCATATCCTACGTCTCTACTTCAGAGTGGCAACCTTGAAAGACCATTGTCAAAATATCTTTCGACATTTCTAACACGTACAAATGTGAAAATGATATGAAGGCGATATGGATTTGCCAGACGACGGACCGGATTTTCTGACTGATGATACACTCCATGAAGCTTATGAGCTTGAGATTGAATCAGAAAAGGGTAATAAAGTTCGATTCGGAGAACTCGTGGCAGGGAAAGGGGATTCGATAACAACGATTGTCATTTTTAGTGAGTCTTACACCAGTCGAAATCCAATGGGATCTAGCATATTGATCAGATGGCTAACCGACTCAATCCTAGTACGCCACTTCTTCTGCGTCTACGACCAAGACTACACCCGAAATGTAGCCAGCCAGATGACCCAAAAATTACTGGATACAGTACCCGCCAGTGCCCGACCAGCTCAAGTCATACTTCTCGGATGCGGAGATCACAGCCTTATATTGCCCTATATGGAAGAGACATCGGACCAATTCCCCATCTACACTGATCCATCAGGGAGGATATACGAGAAACTACAGATGAAGAGGACAATGCGCGGATTCACAGAGCCGCCACCCTATTCTAACTATTCGTTGCCCACTGGTTTGGGGGAATGTTTGAAGCAGATATGGAAGCGTGGATGGGCGGGTCTTCGTGGGGGCAATTGGACTCAGCAAGGTGGTGAGTGGATATTTCAGCGGGGAAAATTACGATATGCACATCGGATGGAAGGAGCCCGTGATCATCTTACTGCGGAGCGGTTGCTGGAGATCTTGAATGTGGCACACGGGAAAGGTGATGATTTACCCTCAACCAGGGAGGAAGGGGAAGAAGTCGACGAAGAGGTACAGGGATCAAACTGCGAGAGTCGAGCACAAGGCACGGAATACATATATATCAGACCTTAGCATCTTGCGATGCCTTACAGGGTTAATTCTATGATCTATGCCTAGATGATTTATACCATGTCTCTTAACAATTATATAAACCCACTAGGGATCAATATATAAGCAATCTACTTATTTTAATAATTACATGTTTTACCTTTTTACTACACTTAATTCCTAGTATCTATTCACCCTACCTTTCATTCAACATAAATTAGATAATAAGCCTCTAATTCCTTACATATCTTTAAACTATTGATTCGTACCATAGCATCCGCGATAAGCGGTAGCGTATATACTGACTAGCGTACTATCTGATGGTCGACATTAACCTCCTAAAATTCAATATATTTTCATCTATGTGTACTATATCTATCTTCCCCGATGTCGTATCTTAACAAAAAGTTACGAACACGTGATCGCAACGGCGCTAGCCAAGGCAGCCAACCGAGCCCGAGCTCAAAATTTGAAGCTTTGAATGTTCATTCAACCTAATTTTAGCCATTTTCATGTTACACTATACGCGATATCTTGAGATCCATGGACCCCGGGGAATCCAATCATGAGGGACGCGAGGTGACAAGCGCGCTGATCCGACGCGCAGTAGGTACTCCGAATAAGTTGCAAGCTTAGAAAAAGAAAAGAAAAATACAGATTTGGCCAGTCAAATATTAATTATATGCATACAGTGTGATCAATGCCGCCTGAGAAAGGTATGCAGCTGCAGCTCCGAGTGACACACGATGTCATGACTCAATCTCACGCTGTCCCAGATCCGATGCGATAAGCGCACGCCATGTTCCAACTGTCGCAGCTCTAGCATTGCATGCCGATCTACGGGCGAAGGCCAGAAGCCGTCAGAGCCTCGGCGGCGAGTTTTAATCTCAAATCAATAGTATGAACATTTTCTCCTATTATAGGACACCATTGACTCGACCACAGTGAGAAAAAGATCGATTTGATCGAGGAACGCCTGGCAAGCATTGAAAGTACTCTTCAACAGCTAGCGAAAAATACATCTCAACTACAAGGCTTCACAGCGCCAAACCCGCGCGAGTCTCATTTCGCCCCTTCGCCTCAGAAGTCAACCCCTTCGCAGCCGTCACTTACTACACGGAACCCTGCAAAGCCCAAGGGCCCTTTATATCTAGCGAACCCTACTCTCGAGCAGCACGATTCCAGCTCTGGCTTTGAGGGCAGCTCATCCTTGACTGCCCATGGGGCCTACGCGAGCGCGTTCCTGGAATCTGCTGTGTCCAAAAGCTCGCCGCAGGTCTTGTCTAGTCCGAAGATCAATGCGGCTCTCTCGTCGCTGAAGCAGCTTGTCGGGATCCAGAACCAACGACGAGAAGCGGACTTGCAGGGGAGCCAACCCACCAAGAATGCGAGATTAGGTGTGAGATGCGACATTCGTGATCTAGAGATGCCACCTCTACCAGTGGTTCTCGACATCTTGAGAAAGATTCAAGGTACGGTTCATTCCAGAGAGATGTCTCCAGCTTCTTATTCTCACTAATTAGAATCAACACCGGCCTGCTTTGGTGGCTATGTCCCCTTCCTGAGTGTGAAATATTTCACCGAAAAATGCCGTGAAGTTTACTTCTGCATAGAGGATTACTCCGAAGCGGCATTTGTTATAACCAATTTTTGTCTCTATGGCGTTTTCTACGAATATGGTGGTATGGAAAAGGAAGGCTCTGTGCGGGAAGAGCATCAGAACTACATTGAGATGTGTCGCGACAACCTGGAGGCGGCGCTTGCCAATTTGAATATCCTGATGCCTGCAACCCATGAATCGATTATGGCGTTAGCTGTAGGAGTTAGCCCCCCATTTCTATCTCACTTTCTTTAAGATTTACCCCATCCGGAATCGGTACTGACAAACACAGGCTATGCATGCACTCGAGATTTCCAAACCATCGGTTGGCTGGACACTAGCATCAACAGCCATGAATCTATGCCAGACACTCGGATATCATCGCTTTATCTCAATGGAGCACGACCCCTTACCAGTCCAACGCCAAAAACAAGTTCTATTCTGGTCTATCTACACAATTTTGAATATGATGTCCCTGCGTCTAGGACGTGCCTCGCCCGTCCAAACCTACGATATCAGCCTACCAATACCCGATGAGAACGTAGATGTCCCTCACCCATGGGGTCCGGTCTGCATGTGGTGGACTAGATTGGCGATTATCCAAAGCGAGGTTTACCAATATTTGTATAGCCCAGAGGCACTGCAGAAGCCGGAAAGTGAACGAGTCACACATGCACACAGATTAGCTGCTGAGATGAAGTCGAAGGTTATGGAGCCGTTTGAGGTATGCGTTCCTGCAATTTTGGAGATTTGATTGAGTCGAGTTGCTAACGTAAAACATGCAGAAATTCATGTCGTCCGATCTCAAAGTATCCGAGATCGACCTCATGTACCTCGCAACTGACAAGGTCAGTCGTCTAGCCATCATGACCTTGATCTACCGAGCAATTCCAGCATCAACAGACTCGGACACTGTCGCCGCCTTCATACCTGAATGTATCGAGACAGCCCGGGAAGCCCTGGAAGTTCACCGACAATGCGTTGCAGCGCTTAATGAGACAGACGATTTCATGAAAATATCCTACATGCACTGGTAAGCATTCCGAAACAATCCTAACAACAGCGTCATCTTTGATGAAATGGCCATACAAGCTCAGACGAACAAATTCTCACAAAAGAAATATAGGGGCATCCTCCTATCCCCCTTCGTTCCCTTCATCGTAATATTCTGCAACATAATAACAACCTCCAACGCCGACGACCTCTCCCTACTCGAAGAGTTCATCGCCTCCCTCCAACCTCTATGCGCCTTCTCCCAATCCATCGACCGACTGCACACCCTGTGCTCAGTGTTTGGTACCGTTGCCCGTCTTTACTTCGAAGCCAACACCCGGACGCAGACAGCCGCAGACCAAGACCAAAATCTCGCTGAGGTCGGTCAGGAATTCGATGTTTATCTCAGTGCCCTCGGATTGGCGCCTCCAACCCATATGAATCCTCCGAACAGCGGTACTTACCCGATGGGAAACTCGCAGGGATATTTCCAGGCAGATAATCCTGCTATGCATGTTAGTCCGGCGGAATTGTCACAGCATCATGTGGGTGGGTTCTCGGCGCCGGCCGATTCATCCCAAGTGCAGGGACAGGGCTCGGGGACTGCTGCGCAATTGGGGAATTGGTTTTGGGGAAATCAGTACATGATGGGGCTTTTGGAGGAGGATTTATCGCAGGTTAATTCGGGATGGTCGTGAAGAGACTAGCGAGTGGTCATAGGCTATATCTTACCCACTATCAGTCTCGGTATTTTGGAAGAAATACCGAGCTGGTATTATTGCTAATATGAATCTCAACTTCTACACCCGATGATGCCTAAGCTACATATCGCTCTTTCACTCCAGCAAAACTTTACATCCCTCTGCACTCATAGCCACAAACGTCAAAGCCTGCTTCTCCTCGCCAGGGGGAACACTAGGTGGTTCAGGTGGTAATCTGAGCTCGGGGAATGTTTGAATGGTTCGTACAATCGCACACGAAGCTTCTGCTAGTGCAAATTCCTCTGCCAATTCAGTTAGCACAAGCTCTACGGAGTAATTTCTAGCCTAAATCACTTACTGCCTAGACATATCCTTGGCCCTCCATGGAAAGGCATGAATCCCCAACCAATACCGTCTAGCTCTGGACCCACCCATCATTCGGGACGGAAACTGTTTGCATCTTCACCGTACGAGCTCTTCAGTCTATGCATATGATAGAACGAATAGCCAACACCCGTGCCTTTGGGTATGAGTACCGGGAATCTTCTATCGAGGCCTCCTCCGCTTGGGAGAAATGTCGTTTTAGTCGCCGCGCGGATGTTCACTGGACGCTGCGGATATAGTCGTTGAGCTGGATGCAAAGTCACAATTAGATTAAACGTTAATTCGAAGATAGTATTGCTGGTAGACTCACATTCATTAATCACACATCGGAGATAATTCATCTTGCTGATCTTTGCCCGGCTCAATTCGTGCGAACCCTCGGTGACAAGTTCGATCTCGCTGCGAAGTTTCGCGAGAGCCTCGGGAAGTCGCACGAGAAGGAAAAGTGCCCATGACATTAGACGAGCCGTCATGTCCCTTCCGGCAATAAGTACATGGACCAGTTAATCTCTCATAAGAACCGGGCCTTGCATCTCCTTATAAAGCTCGAGAATAAACGCGTGTCTCTCCGATGCTGCTTCCTCGCCATTCCTTTCTATATTATCGAGGGCAATCTACACGAAGTGACTCGCATATTCTTTAATAGTAGCACAAGCTGCCTTAAATTTAGCAGGGTTACATAGTTATTCCAAATCAGTAAGATAAAGTCTGATCGCACCGATGTAGCTGGCATAGTCAAAGGCCTTCTCAAAAGTATCCGTCTCTGCTTTAATGGTGTCAATTACATGGACACAGCATTGAACAACAAAGACACTCACTTTATATCGGCCCCAGCTTTGTAGAAGAAAGATATATGATGTGGCTAAAAACCTCTACTATAAATGAAGTGCCTAATCCATTTATCACCATTGTGTTACTTATGAGCTTTAAGACTAGGATGACGACCCATTTGATGAAGACCGGCTACGAATTGCCCTGTCTCTTCTCGTACGTCTTGGGATGCTGACACTTCACGATGACAGTAATAGTTATTGGATGCATCCACTGGTCCATCCCTGGGTGCGACAGAGACCCGAGACTAGTACGGCAGAGCAAGCCGTGTGGTGCCAGGCAGCAGCTACCATATTGGCACAATAGATATTTTTCCAAGCTCCACGCGCATATACAGCTCAGGACGAGAAGTCAAAAAGGCAGATTTATCCACGCGTGGAAAATGTGCGAAGATTACAGGCAGATATCAAGAGACGTTTTGAAGAGAACCAGAGGGCTCCTCATTGGCCTTGGCCATTAAATTTGCTAACGCCTGGGTCAGGCTTTGGAAGGCTACAGGCAACTGAATATGCAAAATTCAGTTTGATTTACCTTCATTGCGGGTATTGGACCAAGGCAGAAGAGCTTCAGCTTCAAGTAAAGGACTATTTATTTGCAAAGCTAGGCCCCGAGTCTGAGTACAGCATTCATTATGCGATTGACCGGCAATCAGAGAACATTGAAGTGTTGAAGCTTCTTATCAGTAATGGTGCAACCATCAATGCAACCATGTACCAAGATCATTATCTTTCCTGGAGTTTGTATTATTTCATGGGTCTCGGGACGGTTTTGCATAGAGCATCTGAACTTGATAAGGTGGAGTTAGTTCGGTATTTGATTGTTGGAGCAGATCCGAGCATTACCGACGCAAATGGTCGTACGGCTATAGAATGCGTAGAAAGATTGAACCAGAGAGAGGTCGTTCAAGAACTGCAGAAAGGGAAATAGCTCCTGTTGTAATTTCAATTTTGAATTAGCATGACTTGTCTTTATGTGCTTCCAGATGATCTATTTACAGCTCTATCAATTCTTTTCACATTCCCGCTCAAGCATCCGGCTTATAATTCAAGATCGCAAGCATCCGAATTTTCAAATCGGATCATGATTGTTCTGGCAATAGATCCCGCACCCCCTTGTTAAGCAGCATATTCGCGACTGAGACGCCGAGTTTCTCTGCATCCTCATCGCACTGAACAGAGCTCACATCCTCAGAAGAAATCTCCGATGTTCCTTCTACGTGGATAACCGTAGCTCGCAGACGAAGCGTGCCGCTCTCAGGGCCTCGATTTGCGTCTACGGGATCGTTTTCTTTCGGCTCAAAAGAAGACCAAACGCCAATTGAGGAGGAACATCCTCCTTGAAGACTTCGGAGCATTGCCCTCTCTGCCATGCCGCGCCATCTCGACGGCTTATGGTCGACATGTTGGACAAGCTGTATGATGTCTTGGCGGTCTATGTCTGTGCTAACCTCGATACCAAGTGCGCCTTGCCCAACCGCATAAGGGAATATCGTAGGCTCAAGTCGTTGCGTTATCCGATGACCGAGTCCTAGGCGTAATAGACCTGCACTCGCCAAGAGAATGCATGAAAATGGCGAGGAAGGTGCGTCAAGCTTAGCCAGACGAGTATCTCTAATATGGGTACATATTAGATCAAACTTGTGCCGATATGTGTCGCAAGTAGTAGTAAGAGGATCCTTTAATACTTACAGGTTGCCGCGACATTCCGCGACCTCCAAATGAGGCCAATTGCGCCGAACTAGAGCTCTCCTCCTTGAAGAGCTCGATCCAACTATCGAGCCAGGTGGCAATTGATCGATGGATTTGAAACCCGAGTCGGATCTCATTACGACGGCATCGGAACAGTCCTCACGCTCAGGGATAGCTGCAAGGAGACATTTCGGTGGCAGCGTCGTCGGCATGTCCTTTAAACAATGGACAAGAACTTGGACTTTGCCAGCCACAAGATCTATTTCAAGGCCATTTGTCCACAGGCTTTTGCCAATGTCTGATCCGCCGGTCTGCTTCGAGAGCAGTGCAAATGGGGTCTGCTTATCTGCATCACCGACGACACTGCCCGTGGCGATTTCAAAGGTCGGGGAGGGGCCGAGTGTTTGACTCAGCGCAGATATGATGGACCGAGCTTGAGTGAGTGCGAGCTCTGACTTACGGCAGCCAACAATAACTGTAGAAGAAGATGAGACATCTTCTATTTCGTGCGGCTTAGAGCCGTTTGGGGTAAGGCTCATGGTGCAAAAATGGGAGATGCAGTTTAGGAAATTGCGACATGTGTCATTTAATATAGCACACGTGACTTGATACATCCCTGTACTTTCTTATCGAGCTCACGCACTATAAACGATAGTATACAAAGAATCGGAGTCCGCCAATACTCCGAGATCGCTGTGGAGACAATTGGAAAGTCTTAAATTAGCGTTGACCAATGAGAAGGGCTGTACGTAATGCAATCGGGGTCAATTGGAGTCTTCCGCTTCTTCGGTCAAAAGAGTCAATCATTGATCTCCATATACTTGACGTGTTTTAAACCTTTGAACGGTTTTGAGTCTAATAGGAGAAAATTTCCCTTAACATCTGCCTAATAGTCATTATTTAGGCTCAAGACCGTGAATGCCCTGATGAATTAATGCCTTGATTCGATATCAATTGAGCTTGTAAATCACCGCAATCACAAGAACAATCAGAAAATATCCCATCATGATATCCGCCAGCCTGAAGCCCCATCTCAACACAGTCAACACCAAAATGGCCATCCCAGAGCTGGAAGCAGCCGAAGCTGAAAAAACCACCCAAGAGTCACGCGTCCTAATCATCATGACCGGCGGCACAATCTGCATGCAACCCTCACCAGCCGGCTTCGTCCCAGCGCGGGGTTTCCAAGAAAAATGCATGGCGCCCGTGCCAACCTTCAACGACGGTTCCGCCAGCGCAACAATGGACGTGCTCGTCGATGTACACAAGACCAAAGAACATCCAAGCCTACGCACACCAATGACAGCCTATGCGCGACAGGTGCGGTACACTGTTCTCGAGTTCGAAGAACTGCTTGACAGCAGCTCGATTGACGCAAGGGGCTGGACTCAGATCGCTGAAGCGATCGAGCGGAATTACACGTTCTTTGACGGATTCGTTGTCCTGCACGGCACGGACAGTCTGGCGTATACTTGCTCGGCGCTCAGCTTTATGTTGCAGAATCTCGGGAAGCCGGTTGTTCTTACTGGGTCGCAGGCGCCGATGCTTGAGCTCCAGAATGACGCTACGGATAACCTGCTCGGGTCGTTGGTTGTTGCGGGTCATTTTATGATTCCCGAGGTGTGTTTGTATTTTAATAATCGGTTGTTCCGGGGGAATCGGACGACGAAAGTTGCAGCGAGTGATTTTGCCGCGTTCGATGCGCCGAATTGTGCCCCGTTGGCCGTTACGAATTCTATGCGGACTAATGTTAATTGGGATATGGTGCATCGTCCTACGAGCTTGGAGCCGTTTAGTATTCTGACGAATCTGGACACTACCCATGTTGCTTGTCTGCGGATCTTCCCTGGTATCAAGCCGGAGATGGTGGATGCGGTGTTGAAGCTGGATGGCTTGCGCGGGTTGATTCTGGAGACTTTTGGCGCAGGCAATGCGCCCTCTGGTCAGGACAATGCCATGATCAACGTCTTGGCCAGTGCTATCCAGCGGGGGATTGTTATCGTGAACATCACGCAATGTGAGTTCTGCCCGCCTTGGCAGAAAGTATATACTGATATCTCGTCTAGGTCTCACTGGCAGCGTCAGTCCAGTCTATGCCACAGGCATGAGTCTCTCGCGAGCAGGCGTCGTAGCCGGTCTCGATATGACAACCGAGGGCGCATTGACGAAACTCGCCTATCTCCTCGCACTACCAGAATCCACCCCGGAATCCATCGCCAAACGCATGTCAGTATCCATCCGAGGGGAGCTCACCGAGTCATCATTACCTATCTTCCGACACCCGAACGGCGCACTCTCCGAGCGCATCCAGACACTCACCTCGATGGGCTATGCGATTGCCCTCGGCGACCTGGAGAAGGTCCAAGCCATCACCAAGACCGAACACCACTGGCTCCTGAACGACGCCGATTATTCCGGCAACACGCCCATCGTAAGCAATCCCATCTCAGCACCCGTTCTCTCGTTTCCTCTCCCGTGTCCCCTGTCCCCTGTCTTTTGTCTCACCTTATCTCCGGCATCCCCTTATCTTACACTAACCCAAACACAGCATCTGGCAGCAACATCCCCGTCTCTCCAAACCCTCCATTTCCTCCTATCGCAAGGCGGTTCCGTGCACCTCCGCAATCGCGCCGGCCGCACCCCGCTCTTCCTGGCCGCGAACGCGGGCCTCTCGGAGCACACGCTCCTCCTCCGTAAATCCGGCGCTCACCTGCATTCGGACGAGCGACCAGCTGCCGAGCTGCTGGCGCGTCATCGTCCTTTCGTCTGGGGTATGGCTGGTGTTGGGCCGAAAGAGATAAGCCAGCGGGAGATGGAGGAGGAGTGGGAATGGGATGCTAGTAAGAATCGGATGATTCCTGGGTCGGCACCTTAGAGGTGTTTTCGGGGTTTAGGCTTAGACTGGATTAGGGGTGTCTTTAGAATGATTTTACCTATATGGAGTTGGGGGAAATGTCTAGTATTGGCCCCATGGGTAAGCCCGGGGGAATTTTCTTTAAATGGAATGCCTGCGCTTTGCGTCGGTGACATCAATTTTAGATTATAAAAATAATGATATTTCTGACCGAAATCGCACCATTTCAGGCTAGTCCTCTACGTTTATTGCCTGTTTTTAGCTGTGACACCATCATCACAGTGTAATACGGAATTTCATCCGCGGAGATCAGCCCCTGCCGTAGCCGGGATTGAGCTAAGTGGAGAGAACCTTGGAAGATAAGGACTTTTCTTTTCTTTTTTTTTTTTTTTTCCGGGGTTTGAAGTGTGTTACTGCCAAGGTAGAGAGACTGAATTGTTGAGGTTCTAGATTATATACTCCAAATCTTTTATGGGGTACCTAGGTATATCTGCATATTTTTGTTTCTTTTTGTTTCGCTTTTTTTTATATACCAGTACATTTATATTATCCCATTAAAATAATCTCATATGTGGCTCATGCAGCAGGGAATGATGTGATCATGTTCAGGTTGTGAATTGCGGGGTTCAGGCCGAGAATTTCCAAAGTAACAAGGTACCTGGCTATTGGACGTATCGGGTGAAATGGCAAGACATAAAAGCACGTCAACATATGCCAAGACCCCAACGCATTGAACAAGCACTAGCCCAGAAGATTATACGATATATACACCACGTGAGGCCCTGACAGACTGTTGGTGGAACAGTGAAGTCACCTGCGCGATTTAGGTAGTATTAACCCTCGGGAGTGGTTCCGCTATGGGTATCTTAAGGCTTGGCATGGATGTATAGATCTAGTATAGTAAGTATATAAGGGGAGATGTATAGGATATAGAATTAGAATGGATGTAGTGAAATAACACCATATACCATCTATTAAGTAAATAAGAGAAACCGAGTCTCTCTAAGTTCCCGAATTCAGGATCTTCCCGTGCTGCCGAAATTGCCAGCCGATATTTACGTAAAAAATCAAAGACCGCACTGTGGATTTTCTTTTTTTTTTCTTTTTCCTTTTTTTTCTATTTTTCTTTTTTTTTTTTTCGGCGTTAACTCATATATATGTGAATTTGGTTATATTGGGGAAATATCACTCATACAAAATATAAAAAAAGAGTATAAAGAAGTATAGAAATAAATTCTTATCTTATCCTTTTCAGTCTCTCCGCGTTATTTGATTTAAATTGCAGATCAGACGGTTTGGAGACCAAATCGCATAATTTAGGTCTGATCGCGATTTCCAAACCTCTACCCCACCATCGCAAACCCTTCTCGCCAAGGCTTACTCCGGATTTCTCTTTTTATCTGTCCTTCCTGCCCTCTTGAATCTACTTCCTTCTCTATACTTCCTCCCAACCAACCCGAATGACACAACCCCAGAAGACCATTGCCGTGGTCAACGCGACAGGCCGACAAGCGGCCTCACTGATCCGCGTCGCGTCCGCCGTGGGGTACTCAGTGCGCGCGCAAATCCATTCCCTCAAAGGCGTGATCGCACCAGAACTCCAACAACTTCCCAATGTGACCCTCCTACAAGGTCCCCTCCTCGGCAACATCGCCCTGATGGACGAACTCTTCAAAGGCGCTCAACTAGCCTTCATCAACACCACCTCCCAGTCCGGCGACGAGGTAGCCATCGGCCGCGATCTAGCAGACGCCGCAAAACGAGCGGGCTCAATTCAGCATTACATCTACAGCAGTATGCCGGATCATTCCGTTCACGGTCCCTGGCCCGCTGTCCCGCAGTGGGCGCCCAAGTTCACCGTCGAGAACTATATCCGTCAGCTCGGTATGCCGGCGACCTTTGTCTACGCCGGTATCTACAATAATAACTTCACGAGCTTGCCGTACCCACTTTTCCAGATGGAGCTTTTGGAAGATGGGAGCTTTGAGTGGCGTGCGCCGTTTGATCCGGAAATTCCGTTGCCGTGGCTTGATGCTGAGCATGATGTTGGTCCGACTCTGCTGCAGATTTTCAAGGATGGAACGAAGAAATGGAATGGTCATCGGTGAGTACAGGACAAAAAGAATCATTCCGAAATCGGATTCGGTCTTCCCGTGGATTCTCGTCGGGGGTCCGTGGGTTAGAAGACAAGAGAGAATGAGGAAAAAGAAACTAACACACCGCTTCTCATTTAGTATTGCTCTCACCTTCGAAACACTCTCCCCGCTACAAGTGTGCGCAGCCTTCTCCCGTGCCCTGGACCGTCCATGTCGGTACGTCCGCTCGCCCAAGATCGAGATCAAGGTCAATATCCCCCCGGGATATCGAGAACAGCTCGAAGCTTTGGAGGAGCTGTTTGGCAGATGTGGTGCCCCGTACTTCCCACAGCCGGAGTTCTCACAGCCCGCTGCTGGTTCACCAAAGGGTCTCGGACCGGCGGGTGGAAAGGGCGCCGGTGCAGGTATGATGCAAGGACCTGGCGGTGTCGTCTCGCTGCGGGTGACAGACGAGTCTCGGCATCTGTGGCAGGGCTGGCGCGATATGGAAGAGTATGCGCGTGAGGTGTTCCCTGTTGAAGAAGAGGCTAATGGGCTTGACTGGATGGTTTGAGACTGTTTGTTCTTTCTTGTTTTTGTGGCTCTAGCCTTGCTTTTTTTTGTTTTTCTTTTCTTATGACAGTTCGATCTGGGCAGAGATGTGCATGGTGATGTGTTCTGTGCATGTTGAGCTGCCCTTGCTGTTTTGTTTTTAATCATTGCATTCTTGGCGAACGGGCATGGGATATATGGACTTTCATGACTTATCGGTTTCTTAATCTGATGCTTGGGGTAGCATTGGACGAGGATTCATTTTGCTTTGTTTAGATTGGATTTGATATCTGATCTGACCAAAAAAAAAAGTTTTGTTTTTGCTTTTCCAATACTGTTTTCTGTTTTTACTTTCCAGGTTCAATGAGCCTCATCCTCCCCAAACTTCGAAAAACAAAATATGGAATAAGATATCCCGACTCTGGTTACTGGAACTATTTGCTCAACGCGAATATGCCCAATTTTTCCCACTTCCACATCCAAACTTGCCACTAGGAAAACCCCGAATTCAGATCCCGGACCTCGTCCGACTCTTTTTCGTCAATCGCACAACCTCCCTCGTGCCCGCTGACCCCAATTGACCAGTCCTGCAGGTCCCGTGCGTCCACGTTCGAAGTTTACACGCTCGCGCAGACCGCTCCTCTTATCTAACTGTATGAACAAATCAGATGGAAGTTCACGGACTCGGACCCTAGAAATATGTTGAAAGAGGGGGGTTGTACAACATATAAGCGCTGGCGTGAATCTCTCAATGAAATTAGGGGTATATACCCTTTACCCCGGTGATAGGTTCTACGTAAGAGTCTTCAAAGAATGAATCGCCGTCAAAATAAAGTATTCTTTTTAATTTTTAGTTTATCTTTCATGGTTGCTTTTTCTTTTATCTTTGATCTCCACTTCTGTTTAATCGGATGACCTCGATGAGAGAGTTGGATCTGTGGCTATGTGGTGTGGTTGTGTATGTTTATGATAATTCTCGGGAGTCTATAGTCCGTACAAGGTAGGGTATGGTTATTTTCTGGCTAACATAGAGCCCATGGAACATTTACCTAACAACATATCCTGGATAGTACTGATTGGTGGAAGTGTAGACATTGGGGCTCCATTTGAAAATTCTTATAGATATACGGTGAGCTCTGTTGTCTGCATTCAAGTCAAAGTCAAGACATTAGAATGAAGATTGAATATCTTTCGCAGTTTCACAGATTAGATTGTGTGTATTGTTCATGTTCTATGAAAATATCCCTCCATGAGCTAATAACCAGAACGTATAAAAAAGTACTTGAAAGATCCACAAGATCAGCGTCAGAGTTTTCTGTTGGCCTTATGATGTAGTATTGACACCTGAGGCCTATTACCCAGGTAACCCCCACCATTGCAGTGGACAACGGTGGTACACAAAAATACATCGGTTCTCCGCTGTAGTACCATGGAACAGGAAGTACCACCAAGTATCATCGAGTAGCTTCTTAGCTCTTCTTCCATGCATAGCTTTTTTTTTTTTTTTTTTTTCCCTGTTCCTGAATTGACCTTCTTCCCTCTTCTCAATTCTTCCCCTCCATTACTTAAAACACTCAATTCTGCGTGTTTTGCATTTTTATTTACGACTCTTTCACGAAATACATACCCATTATGTCTAACGATCAGTCCCTCCTTGACCGCGTCGAGATGCCTAGCATCCCCGAGGCTGCTATGAAGAAGATTGCTGTTCTTGAGGAGCAGTTCTCTCGTGCTGAGGTTGAGCAATGTATGTTTCTGATGATTTTCCAGTTCTATTTCTTTTGTTATGGCGGGGCAAGCAAACCAGCTTGCAGAATCTATTGCAGAATCTACTCTGCCATGAGAACACCATTGAAAAACATTGAACAAATTGCTAATATACATCTGCAGTGCGTCACTCTGTCAAGCTCATGACCCCCTTGATCCAGAAGCGTAGCGAGATCATCAACATCCCCGAGGTGCAGGCTGAGTTCTGGATGCGCGTGTTCGCCAGTGCTCCCCCCGAGATCGACGAGTACATTCTGTCCAGCGATGCCCAAGTTCTCGGCGAGAGCCTCAAGACTATGAACGTTGAGCGATTCGAGCTTGATGCCCAAGGCAACGGCGAGCCCCGCAGCTTGCGTTTCACCTTTGAGTTCAAGACTGGTGAGGAGAACCCCTTCTTCACCAACGAGAAGCTCGTCAAGGAGTTCTACTGGCGTCAGGAGGTCTCCAAGAACGCCGCTGGCAAGAGCCGCACCTGGGAGGGTCTCGTTTCCGAGCCCGTCCGCATTAACTGGAAGAAGGATAAGGACTTGACCAAGGGCATGCTCGATGCTGCTTGCGACCTTGCTGAGGCTGAGAAGAAGAAGGGCGGTGACCGTAAGAAGTTGCCCGAGTTCGCTGCTCTCGTTAAGAAGGTTGAGGAGGCCGAGGCTGAGATTGCCAACGCCGAGGAGGATGAGGATGATGAGGACCCCAGCCCCGTTGGCATGAGCTTCTTCGGATTCTTCGGATACCGTGGCCGTGATGTCTCTGCTGCTCAGTCCAAGGAGGCTGCCAAGGAGATCGAGGCTCGCTGGGCCAAGATCCAGAAGGGCGAGGAGATCGATGAGGCTGGTGACTCCGACTCCGATGATGAGGAGGATGACTCCGAGGGTCTTGAGGAGGTCGATATCTTCCCCGATGGAGATGACCTCGCTGTTGCCATTGCCGAGGACCTCTGGCCCGATGCCCTCAGCTACTACGGTATGTAGATCCCAGACCGCGAGTGAGACGTTTCTGCTAACTTTGACCGCAGTTCAATCCTTCCAGATGGGCGAAGACCTCGAAGATATGGACCTCGATATGGAGGAATTGGACTCCGATGAAGATAGTGAGTCGCGTCCGCGCAAGAAGGCTCGCAACTAAATCATTTGCACCCGAAACGCCATGACCCCCCTTTTGATGATTTTTGCTTTTTTCCTAACCACTTGAGTTATGTATTATCACAGTGCAATGAGGAGGATTAATAATAAGACGAGGACGAATATGAGTGCCGCGATACAAAACGAGGACCATGTATCTAGTCGGAAAAGTTAGTTTGAACTTGAGATTCCCATACCATACCAGACCATTCCAGTAAAGATCCAGCATAGACGGAGTATAGCGAGAAAAAAAAAAAGGAACTCTCTTACCCTCATTCTTGCGCACGATATGTTTGATACGCGACATCCCATTCGCCAACTTCCCCCAACCCGATCCGCCAGCGTATCAACCTCGTCAATCATGACAGCCTGGTCCTCCAACTCACGACCCATATCATCAGCCTGCTGTCGCAAATTCCCAACAGTGCGAAAAACACCATCAAGCTGCTCATCCTGCTCATGCATAAGTTCATACTGTCGCTGCTGCTCCATAGAAGCATAATAATCCTCTCCGCCACGTCCGCGCTCCTCCTCCTCAAGCGCCGCATCAAACTCCGTAGGATTCGGCAGCGTATCGACAGCAGAATTAGAAACAGCCTGCTGCAGCTCCTGGTGCATTTTCTCGACCTCATCACCGACATCGTCGACGAGCTTGCGCCGCCGCTGCACCTCCTCTAGTTCCAGTCCATAGCGGTAGGGGTCTTGTTCGATTGCGCGGACGCTTTCGACGAGGTCGTTGAGGTCGGCTGTGAGCTCTGTTAGTGTGGTTTCGAGCTCGGAGCGCGATTGCTTGAGTTCTGGGTTGTTTGGGCTTTTGGCTAGCGACCGGATGCGGAGGTATGAGGAGAAGAGTGGTCGGCTGGTTTGTAAGGTTGAGACGACGTCGCTGGTATGGTCGTGGTTAGTTGGGGACTTGCGCTTGGGGGTTGGTGTAGAGCTCACGCTTGGACTTGTAGGAAGGGGTCTGCGTGCTCCATGGTTGCGTTATGGGGTATTGAGTGTGTGTTGTTGATAGTTCTCGGCCCCGGGTTGGTCCACGGGTGAATCTGGAGCGGAGGCGGGTGTTGCTGACTGATTGCTACGGTTGGGGGTTCAGACAAAATGCGCAGCTTTGGCCTTGGGGGAAAATAATTCTGCCTGAAAAGGTTGAACTGCACCTTCACCTTGACAATGCAGCACTTTGGGGATTTGTGGATCTCGATGGGGACGACGATAGCGTCCTTGTCTCTATTTTTAAATATAGAACTAATTGCTTAGATATGATGTCTCGTTTGTCTGTTTTTATGAAGTTTCTCTGTCTTTTTTCCTTCCCAATGCCAAAGAACCGTATCTCTGCTTGAAAAAGAGAGATTGGATTGCATGCATTTAGAGATTTATGCAGAGGTAAGAGCGACCATGAGAAAAACTTCCAATGAAGCTACGTTGGTAACTTCCAAGGTTATTCCAAGTTTGCCTGCTCGGGTTATCTTACGGGTTGTTCCTGTTTTAAACGTGCACTTCTGATCTTTACCTTAGTGTTATGATACATATATGAACTTGATTCTGTCTGATCTCATGATATCAAGCCTACTTAGGTCACCTGCAGGATAGGGGGATAGGGGGTGAACGAATTTCTTGATGATATGGCGAAAGCGAATGGGCACACTTCGTTGAAGATGGTCAATTCTAGGGCAGATCCTATCTACCAGCTAAACAACTTCAAAACAAGCTCAGCAGCCACGTCATAACATGAGAAAGCTAAGAGCGAAGGGGGTTGTCTTGAGGATACTTCTTTGGAATCACGAGAATTGAAATAAATGAATCGTAGTCACCACCAACATGTACAGTGTTCGTTGCACCGTCGTGGGACTCCTTGCCCCACGATCGAAGCTTCCGAAGCTCATATCCTGGGATGTTTGGCTGAACTTCGGAAGGTGTGATTTCCAGTCTGAGCTTCCATCCACGACGAATGCAAGACGTTGCAGGTGAAATCTCCACACAAATCTCAACAGCCTCACCTGGGATCAACGGCGTATAACCAGCTTCTTTATGAGTGTGCCATGGCCGGTAGGGAGGGGATTTGGAGGGATCCAAACTTCGATGACTGGCCCGTAAGAACCCATTGGCAAGAGGTTGAGCCCGTGGGTCAACGCAGAATCTCACGACATTTCCCGATTCATCCACGGCCCACAGCAGAATAACCACGTCGGCATCGTGTGAAGTGGATAATATATTCAGCGTAGTTGAAAAGTGACCAGCGAGCTCCACATCCTCCTCGAATGCATCCGAGATGAAACTGACTCCTGGCCCTCCGTCGGCTCTGTCTCTGCGGAATAGGAGAATTTTCTTTCTGGGGCCGAGGGTTTGGCATTTCGGAGACTCCCATCAACCGCAAGGTGGAATTTAACGTATTCTGTTCCAGGAACGGGCCAGTCTTCCTCAGTTCGCCAATACCATTGGCCCTCGCCGGTGCGCATCTGCATTCTGACCCCGATAGGGAGGCAGTACAATTGGATATGGAGAAGGGCGAGATACCGGTCATGATACGGCTGTTGGGTCATGTGAAAGCAAAAGCTCTCGTCTTATTTGGCATGTATGACAATATTTCTCCAATCAAAAATGCGTATACCATTACAGAGGGTATGCCGGGGTCTAAGTTGGTGGTATATGGAGATTGCGGACATTTCCTCTGGTTGGAAAAGCCAGACGTTCTTCGATTATTACGTTGGATATCGACATTTCGACTGCCAAGTCAAACAATCTCAATGATACATCAGTACTGGAACGACTAAAGCTTTGTACCCTGTCTCAGATTACCTCCTGTGGTAAATAAACTGATTGGATTATGCTCATAAAACTGTGCTTATCGTGAAGTACTCTGAACTTAAAGAGAGAGAGTCCGCCGAACACGTTCTACCGGCAAGGTTCGGAAAAAGTAACTGTTCCAGGTCAGGCCCTAGATTATAGTTGCTTGGGGTATCAGTTACACTCTATTGCTCCAGGGGTTTATTCCCCATAATACAATCCGAAAATCTGCATTAAAATTCCCCTTTGATCTATCGAATTTAGCGACAGAAGTATCCATCACAAGCTCAAGTGGCTGAGTGGTAGCCTTCGTGGTCTAGTTTGGTCATGACGTCGGTCTCATATCCTTCCGACCTTGGTAACAAGGTTTCATATGACATTCTTGGTAACAAGATTGACATCCGAAGGTCTCCAGTTCGATCCTGGACGAGGGCATTTCTTTTTTTCCGATTAGAACGTCAGGCCAGATAGTGGGGCTAATATTCTTCATTTTCTCTTGGCACGGGTTCGATTCCTGTTGCTGGAAATCTACAAACTCCTCCAGGCATAATGAAGTGAATTTATACCATTGGTTATCCATGTACGGCCCTTTTTAGACGAACGACCTTTTCGGGTCGAGCTCTGTGGACAAGAAGTCACAGATCGGGGACATATAACCTCAACGATTTTTCTATGCAGAAATTCATTCTCATAATCGATACTTTCTGTTATTGGCCTGATCTCTAACCTAACAAGAGGTAACAAAGAACCGAGAGACACAAATATAATTGATCGGCTCAAAGATAGTCGGACACCGTTCAACACATTTTTGTGAAAGATTGCCTCCTTCGTGCATTGGGACTATTATTGGGATCAGAGTATTTCGGATGTATAAATGTATGACAAGACAGACAAGGCCTTGTTTTCATTCAATGTGATCTTATAGCTTGTTCGAAAGGCTGTACTACTATAGATTATACTCTTTCGCCAGACTCGGTAGGGCCCCTTTGATATCGATGGTGATGCCTATTAACTGAAAATATCACGTTATTAGGCATTCCTTTGGCTAAATACACTTGATTTAATAGAATTGAAGGTAAGAGGAAGAGATAGGACAAGTGAAGATGACCAAACACAGTGATGACAGAAGGGTATCATAGAATATAAAACTAGGGTCATCGAGTCCTTGAATCTTCCGGCAACTCGTGGACAGGAATATTATCTTTGTAGCCAGGTAGCTCTGGCACATAAACTTGACCTTCTAACTCGCTTGGTTTGGTCGAATGGCTGTCTAACTCGCTCGGATTTTGCGGGTTCTGGACAGGTTGGTATTGTCTCATTGATGCTTCAGTGACGGGTGTGGGATCTTGCTGTGGTTGCTTCTGTCGGCGACGACGCATGAAATACCAAAGCAAAACGAGAATGATTGCTAACCCAGCAACACCACCAACTACGCCACCTGCGATAGCGCCAGCATTTGAACTAGAAGAGCTACTGGATGTCGGGGAGCTGTTCGATGTTGCAGAACCGCTCGATGTCGTGGAACCGCTCGATGTCGTGGAACCACTCGATGTCGTGGAACCACTCGATGTCGTGGAGCTGCTCAATGTTGAGGAGGTGCTCGGAATTGAGGAGCTGCTGGGTTTTGCGCTCGGGGCTAGTTATATCAGATCTAAGCTCATGTCGAGTAGGCAGGGTTTGAATCTTACCAGGTGAATATATGTTGAACCACTTCCTACCCGGACGGGTAACCACAGAATTCTCATTTTTCGCACACCCAACCCCTCCATCCTTAGCGAACCCAACTAGATCCTGGTCACAACAGAAGAATCCATCATCATCGGCGTTTTGGTAAAGATCCCAGGTTTCGTTGGCGCAGTGTGGTGGGTTATTGATTTGGGATTCACAGTCTTCTTCTTCACTCGGGCAACACCTGCCTGTGTTCTTGTCGCTCGCATGTGAATTTTTCGGACAGCATCGGACGAAACCATGTGCTGAGGTGGTATTGAGTTCTTCGCCGAGGCAGCTTCCATTTCTGCGTATTGCGAATCCGTACGGCGGATCCAACTGAATTTTAGACGCCATAATAGGAGAGAAAGAAACGAAACAAACGAAAATTCAGAAGAGTAGAAGATGTACGCGACGTATATTATTCAAAGGCAACTGAGCATAGGGGAAAAATAGCAATGACCTATTTAGAAAATGAGGAAAACAGAACAGGAAACTGGGCAAATCCAGGGGGACCCTGTCCCCTGGCCTTACATTGGCGCATGCGTATTAATCTCAGTGATGGAATCAGTCTTGGCGTAGGAATGTTTCCTACTTTGCAGGTAGACCATAACATATAACCTTCTAGTGTTGCCGAGAGTAGCATGTCCCTTCTTTGAGGACCTTTTAGGACCTCAAGAATGCCATTGATAAACGCTTTCTTCCTGGGCAAAGGGAAGATAGACCTGGACAGAGCCGCCAAGCACGGGACAACGCCCCCATTTGAGCTGGGGGCGCCCTTCCCAAATCTTACAAGCCATGGCAGAACAAGGCAAAGATCGACTACCTTGTATGGAGTAGTGTAGGTACAAATTAGTGGGTCTCGTATTCTCGGGGAGCACCAGGGCATAACCGAGGCGAATTATGAAGAGGTCACATCAAAGGAAAAGGACATCAATTAATTGACTGATAGATTGGATGGAATATGTAGAGGACTCTGCAAAATAACAACATGATTCATGGATGTAAGCCAAATTATTTCAGCCCCAGTTGAAACTGGTAACAAACGGTACATGGCGCGGGATGAGGGACGAGGGACAAAGACCCACGAAGGCGTTTGCGCTAAACCTAAAGAAGCAGGGCGGACTCCGGACTCCGACAAGATCAAAAACGAAAATAGAAATCGTTTCCAATATATGCAAAAATGTCTATAACGAGGCGCTAGCATGTGCCAGTTTAGATGGTTGTCGATTGGATCAGAGGAGGATATTAGGGAGTGGCTTGGCTTGGCAAGCTGGCATGAACATTTAGCTTCTCAATCACGCTCATGATGCTTTTAGCCGTGTCTAGACCGACATGACAGCCAAGCGCGCTTTTGTTTGTTGTCACCACGTCGAATATTGAGCGAGTATCATACGTGCATTCGGTGAGGGGACCTCTTTAAGATGCTCCCTTTGTGCAGGTTTACACGCCTGTTATTCATGACTACGGGGGCCTTTCAATTAGTTTGGTCATATTACATTAGTACACTTTGATTTTCGCATCTTCGGTGGGTAGGAGGACACAATGAACAGAAAGACTCTCGTTAGATCAGGGCGTTTGCTTTGCGCCTGTTTGACAGATCCATAATTTTATCACTCACATTTGTTTACCGGCTTGCGATTCAAGCTCGGCCACGGATTCTAAGCATAACTATCGTCAGGACACAGTAGGCTACGGGAGGACCAGATGTTCGGGTTGTAGCTTGTCCGACTCATTCTCATACTAACACTCGTCTCAATGGAAAATCCAGCGAAGAGAGCCCATTTGAATGCGCTTCGGGTAGTACAATATCCAAGCAAGTCTGCGTAATAATGATATATGATATACTCTGCCCAGGTGTAGTTGTTAAAAGGTCAAGCCTTGCATGTGTGTCGGCCGTTTAGTGGGGCGATCTCTCTATGATTGGCTTGGATACTCCCGAAAGCCAAAGTTGTGCCACAGATTAGATCCGTACTTCCGTACCACATCGTGGCAAAGTTAAATTGCTATGCACACGTGCTACCTAGCTACTCCATACAACAGCTTTTCATATCGTGGCTGCCTGGTTGGAAACACTCTATATAAAAGGCAGCTCTCGTATCGTCTTACATCTGTTAGATGATCCCGTCTCTCATTGTTTGCTTGCAGATGAGTAGATTATTTATCTAACATCAGGATATAAATACCCTGCTTTTTCCTAGATTGAATAATAATGATTTCTCTCCCCCCCCCACATCTCGCCAGTAGCCATAAAAACATTCTCATCATTCACCAAGCCTACAACATACAGCTGTACTTCCTACATTGCTCTATCAACAAACTCCAGTCGAGTTTTCATTTCAACTTGAAGCATGTTCGTCCCTGATCTCAACCAGAACACTCCATCCTGTGACCCTGCTACCAACGCGGAAGAACAGGGCGCATCTCACCCTTTCTTCCCTCTTCACGGCGAAGGTGATCACCCTTATCCCAGCCCATGGCCTTTCCAGTCTGGTAACGGTCAAGGCGGTCGCCCAGACCATCCCTACATATCTTCATGGGCCCAATCCAACAACAATAATCAAGGCAACAAGGCCAACGAAATCGGTAATACCTCCGCTTCCCGCAAGCCATACCCTGTCCCGGGCCAGGCCCAGCAGCCTCATATTCCATGGCATCAGCCCCATGCCTATTTCGGTCCTTCGGATGGTAGGAAGCCTTCTCCTGCCCCCTTTGATGACGACAATCACCAACCGCCCCATTGCAAGCCATACCCCTACTCTGGATCGGCTGATGGCCATAAACCGTACGGCTATCCGGAGGCGGCCCCGTGGGGACAGTTCCGCTCCTTCCCATGGGGAAATATTGACCATTCCAAGCCTCCCTTTTCTCGTGAACCTTGTGTGTTTCAGGGTGGGCTGTATAGTGCAGGTCCATTCCCCCAACAACCTTCCAAAAACTCGGGTAACTCTTATGATGCGACTCCCTTCCCTCAGCAGTCCTGTCCGTTCCCCAGCGGCCAACAAGGTTGACCAAGTAGACAATAATTGGGCAGCTTCGGAGAGCCTCACGCGTCCCACGGTCCATGGGGATTCATGCAACAAACACCCTGGACACGCCTGCCTACTCGATCCGACAAATACATTCCCGAGGTTGATGTATTCAACACTGCTGGGGCGTTTGTGATTCACGTGCCGCTCCCTGGCGCGAAGAGGGAAGATATCGAGGTTAACTGGGATTCGAAGAGGGTGGAACTCAGCATTACCGGTTTGATCAGCCGACCTGGCTCTGAGGACCTGGTCAAGACAATTGTGTTAGATGAGCGCAAGGGTGGGACGTTTGAGCGCAAAGTGCGATTGGGCAGTCGGGCAAATCCCCCAAAGGTAGATGCAGATGCGATTTCGGCCAAGTTGGAGGATGGTGTTCTTGTTGTCGAGGTGCCAAAGATAGAGTCTGATGATTTTGAGGTTAAGAAGGTTGAGGTTGAGTGATTGGAGGTTGAAGCTTGCATGGGGCTGTAGCTTGATGAGACTGCCAATGTAAAATATTTAGAGTTTTGTCCGCTTACACAAGCTTTCTTACCACGGGTGTGTAGGATTTTAACACTAAAGATAGTAGATGGTTTGAAGCGTCAGTTATTTTCAACTATACTGTACATAAAATGCCTCGCTGATTGATTCCCACCTAGCCCTTGCCTTCTAATTCACGAGCGCTAGATTTATCACGATCTTATCAAAGCTTAACACAAATCCACAATGCTTATCTCCGCGGACAGCCAAAAATTCAAGACTGGGCGAGATTCGGACGTTGACTGAGGATCTGTTTTATCTTCCAAGATCGCGTCGGCAATATCAACTATAAAGATAAGCATGTCTTCTTTTGCATTCAAATAGTGTGAAAGCATCGATTACCCCCAAAAATTGAAAGATGGCAGCCGCTGAAAGTGGGACACCGTGCAACCCCCCACAAGATGAGACGAAAAATGCCAACATTGTTGTCAGTGGGAATGTTGAAGAAGTGACACACTCATATCGTCCCAGCATATGGCAGAGTAATATCACCATCATCAGTTGTGTGAGTCTAATATTGACAGACTCGAAATTCACCTGTTAACTCGCCTAGTATATCGCCAACTTTAGCGATGGCTTTCAAAACACCCTCGCCAATCCCACAAATGTCATTTTCAAGCAGGTACTTGGGGCTGATGGATTTTCCTCCGATATGAAGACCCGCATGAGCAACTCAGTCATCGTCGGAGCGATCCTTGGTGTTGTTGTTTTCGGATACACCTCTGATATGTTTTCACGACGCGCCGGATTGCTCTTCACGTCCTCCCTGGTCGCAATCGGTACCTTGATGGCGGCACTGGCTCTACAGGTGCATCCCTCGAGCAATATGCTGTGGTATTTTGTAGTAGTTCGTGGAATTGTTGGGTTTGGTGTTGGAGGTGAATATCCTCCTAGTGCCGCTGCTGGCATTGAAGAATCGGACTGGGTAAGCATTTAGCCGTTCCCTGAGTTGGATCTATTCTCATGTTTTATAGATCATGCGCAAATACAGAGGACCAATTTTTGTCTCCTTTACGACTTTGATGGCCACGCTAGCGGGTCCAATTTTGATGATAATCTATTTGATCACGCTCATTGCCACGGACAACAACCTTGTTATCGCCTTCCACGTCATTTACTCCATTGCCACTCTCCTTCCAGTTTCAATTATAGTTTTGAGACTGTTCATGGTGGACTCGTCTCTGTTCCACAATTCCAATTTCAAGCGGCAGCGGAAGTCGTGGCGCCTTTGCCTCCTTCTTGCACGGCGTTATTGGTGGAGACTATTGACTACATCAGTAGCCTTCTTTTTATATGATTTCATCAATTTCCCCAACAGCATCATGTCCAGCACGATCATCTCCTCTTTGGTGACAGACCGCAATGTCCGGACAACAGCTATTTGGCAGGTAATTTTGGCGGCCTTGCCAGTTCCAGGCGTTGTGTTGGGGGCCTGGCTTACAAATGCGATTGGACGTCGCTGGACTGGAATTTTGGGCTTCGCTGGATACGTTGTGCTTGGTTTCTTTATCGGTGGCACATACTCGAAGCTTTCTCAAAATATTCCGGCCTTCGTTGTTCTATATGGTCTTTTGCAAGCATTTGGCCATATGGGACCCGGTGCTACCATTGGGCTAATATCTTCTGAGTCTTTCCCCACTGCCATGCGGTCCATGGGATATAGTGTCGCAACAGCCTTCGGTAGAACTGGTGCTGCTGTTGGCACTCAGTGCTTTGCCCCCCTGCAGGACCGTGCCGGTAACAGCTCCACCTTTTACTTAGCTGGAGGTGTCGCTATCCTCGGCATGATGGTCTACTACTTGTTACCTGAAAGTAGAGATTTGGATCTGGAAAAGGAAGATAAGGAGCTCAGCGAGTATCTTATGCAGCACGGATATACGACTGATGTGAAAGAGGGCTTGTGAAGGTTTACTGCATAGAAGATTTTGCTAAATATATAGAGCGACTAGTTAGAAGCTTGGATACGTGTGGTAAAAGAACTAAATGGCAGCTGGCGAAAATTCGATACCTCAGTTTTGAACAACTGGTCACTCAGAAAATGTAGGGTGTTCAATAAACACTTTGAGCACTAAACCCTCCACCCATCATATAAACCATCACATATTCCTTTCACCCGGCTCCTGCACTTATACCCTAGCAGAATTTTATCATGACTTTTGTCTCCAGGTGATCAGAGAATCGTTGGTATGCCTTTGGTGCCTCTTCGATATCAATGATGCTGGAGAAGATGAAACCAGGGTTAGCTATGCCACTTTTCACAAGTTCCAGCAGTGGCTCAACAAATAATTTGCTGTCCACTATACCGCCACGAATGCTCAAGTTTTTCTCCCAGAAAAGCGTGATAGGGAATACCATATTTGGTGAGATGGTGTCGCCCCGTTCAACCCCTTTGGAACTCGGTTGAGCAAAGTGTACCCCGACAACCCCCAAACCACCACCCACGCTGGTGCACTTAATTGCCTGCGTAATAACAAAGGACTGATCGGGCTTCAATTTTTCGTTGACGCATTCCTCCCCAACACAATCTACGGTGCGCTGAACGCCACCCGGTTCCCGGGCCAGAATCTGCGCTGACGGTTCGCCCTTCGTGAAGTTGATCGGAATGGCTCCAATGGACGCTGCGAGTTCGAGTCGCTTTTCTACAGAGTCAACGGAATACACACGAGAGGCCCCACGGAGAATTGCAGAGTACGCAGCAAGAAGTCCGACTGGGCCTGCCCCAAAGATCGCGATCTTATCTCCGGCCTGGAAGCCCGACCAGGTGACCCCCATCCAAGCAGTAGGGAAGATATCTGAAAGAACAACCAGATCCTTATCCTCGATCTCATCAAATTCCTTATCGAGAATGATCAAGGACTTGTCCGCAAGTGGAACACGGACGAATTCGGCTGTTGAGAATGGCGTGGTCAGTCAGACACAGGTCTTGTAATAAAAAGACATGATTATGCAGCGCTCAATCGTACCTTGGCAGCCTCCCAAATTGCCAAAGTCGGATCCCTGTCCATACAATGCAACTGCAGGGTAGGTTGCTGGTTCTAAATCCAGCCCAACGCCATCAGGAATGTCAGGGATAATGACCCGAGCCCCAACCTTCACAGAATCAACATCTGCTCCGATCTTCTCGACGATACCCATGGCCTCATGTCCAATAGGATAAGGAACCCGGTTGCTACCAAAGACGCCGTGGTAGTTGTGCAGGTCGGAGCCGCAGATAGCGGCTGAAGTGACCCGAACCACGGCATCAGTTTGCCTGGCGACTTTTGCCTTCGGAACATCGCGGACATGAATCTTGAGCGGGTGGCCATCAAAAATGACTGATCGCATAGTTCTGCTATTGCTATGCGTCTCTGCCATGATGTGTAAACATATATATGACGCTGTTGGAGCTTTGAAGTTGTGGGATTATTCCTTGAGTAATTCTTGTCCAGCAGGAGGTCATTTGTTGTTAGATCAAGTTGATTGATATCTATCCTTATCAGAAGTTATCGGCCCTTATATAGCAATTGATGATGACTAGTATGCACCATGTAGCTGGGTACAAGTTCCGTGTATACATAGGACCCGACGTCATATTTGAGGTATTTTACGTCTTATACCACGTCAGTCTCAGCATATGTACTATAAATGAGCCATTTTTAGTTGGTCTTCGCCTCAGACTCAGAAAGTCTCCGGGAAGATAATGATAAGCCCAGTCGGAAACGGCTATATCTAGTACATTCTATAAGCTATGTCTGATGTAAGATAAGAAAGCCAAAGCCGGTTCCTATCTATATTAAGCTCTAAGGGAAGCTATTCGAAGATCTCCATCGCAACTCAATTGAGTACCAAACTCCTTCAGAGTAAATAGCTCACGTTGTCAAGGATAACACATCCTCATTGGGCGCTTAACAATGGGATTAACAGTCGCCCGATCTAGATTTTAGCAATAAGAGTGGAATAGCACAGTTCCGGTGATCGAATGACGCAAGATCATACCGATAAATGGTGGCAAAAGCTTGCAGAGAGAGTTGTATCCCATCTAATACTAAGCTTTTTTAACTGTGGCGCTCAGATTTGAGTAAAGTTTAACTATTGCTAAGACGTCACAGAATTCATAAATCTTCCCTACATGTATTCTTGAAACCGGCTAACACCGATACAGCTTAACCGATACATAGTACATATGCGATTGTTCTGGACCCACTACCAAGGCCTTAGAGCAGATCAATCAACGGGCTGCAATTTACGGATCCCCCTCGGGAACTTTATGCGGGTGATATTCTGACCTTGACAACAGCTAAATAGTTCGTCCAATCCTAGTTGAGCCAACGATACAGAATGAACGACGTCTAAGAGCACCTTTTACACGAAGAATGTCCGAGGTTTGCCTTTAAGGCCATTGAATTGTGAGTGTCTGCTTGGCTATTCTTATGAACCTAATCAGCTAGTACACACAATATATTTGTTTCTGAATATAATATACATATCTGGTATGCTCCACCCCAGCAGTCTTAAATCAATCATCTTGCTTCTTACAACTTTGGCTCCACATAAAAACACAGGTACTGTCATTAACACGCAGATGCCACACCACAGAGGTAGTCATCATGGAGACATCACATCGAAGGGCCAATGATTCGACACACTGATTGCACCCCTGGGGACAGGCTTTTCAAAGCCGAAGCAAGCTCGTCGGCAGCTTGAACCAGAGCATCGTCTGTGAGCGGCTCTAGTGCATCGAGGATGAACAAAACACGCGAGGTATCATCGGTCAAGGCAGTCCGTGGGCCCTGTCGCCAATTCCAACGACGGCAAGTGATGCCGCTATTGTCTCGCCAAACTGGCTCCCCTGGCGCTGCAAGTTCCGTTTGGGGTTTCCCGCCAGAAAAAGTCTCGAACTCCTCATTACCAGTGGCACGAACCAGGACAGGCGATCCGTCGTATTTGTCAAGGTCCTCACCCCCAAATGGGATCTGATACTTGACGGAGATAGCATTGTAGATGTCGGTCAGCCGGTTGACTCGTGGCAAGCCATCCTGCGCGCGACGAGTCAGAGCCTCGAGGCTGTTGCGCATTTTTTGGGGCTTAGCCCCGAAGGCTTTGTAAGCCTCGCGCCATGCGGCAATGTGTGGAAGTTCGGTAACAGAACAATTGGATAGCTTGTCCTTGACGGAATTTTCAGCCTCCCTCAAAAGGGCCTCGCTGAACTCATCACTTGGGCCTGGAGGAATACCCTCTACCACCATCAAGAGAGCGCGATAATCAGGACGTAGTTCGAATATCTCCGGGGCTACATGCGCATTCTGCAGTAACTTTTGTGCCTCTTGTGTCCCGCTCATGACTAAGAATGAATGGTGTAATGATACTGGAGATGTACCTGATTGTTGCGAGCTAAGCGTAAGACGATAAAGTAGGCGAAGAAATCTGTGAATTTCTTTGAAAGTAACACAGCAAAAAAAGGACGGGGAGGATAGCCTCATATAATATAGTAAATCGGGGCATATCCGAAGGCGAACTTAGCTTGATCAAATTTTCTTCGAGCCACTGCAATCTCTTGCTAACGTCGCTTTATTTTGGAGAGTAATTCGATGGATTCTCACTGCCCCTTGGCCCCTCTCCCTTCAAGTTCCTAAGGTAGTATATAGTGGATGCAGTGTTGTTATTCCAATCTCAGAACTGTGGCAATAGTCACGTCCGAAAAGGGTAGTTGACGGGAGTGGGGATCAAACGGTGATACCAGTGTCTGATTGGCTGTTTCTATGAACCTTATGAAAATATCCTATTCTGCCTAGGGTTTTCTAGGGTCACGACTTGATACATGATAGAATAGAAGTAGATAGATCACGGCCTTCATGATGCAGTCCTCCCGGCTATTCCTCGGAGCAAAAGCCATTCTGACCTGGCGGTTGAACGGACCACTATTATTCGAATAAGAGAGCATTTCACCAACACAAGTCATTTGCGTCTGCTAAGCTGTAATCCTCTTTTCGCCGCCGTACTCCGTCACTCATTTCCCGAAACTGCATTCGGTGCTTTAACGTAGATGAGACCTCGTCAAGGATTTTCTCTAGGAGCAGCTCGATATCAGCCTTACCGTCATTGATATTTCCGAGTTTCTTGCTGGGCCCAAGGGTGTCCACGACCCCGAGCAGAAGCGCCGCGCAAGTTCATTGGTGGCAAGTTCATCGATGTCTCAGCTCGGTTCTTGTGGGGCAATTTCTACCCTGGTAAGTCCTCGGGTCTCAAAATTCGAGGGCCTATGCCTCAGTCTTTCTATTAGTGTCTTGAGCGAGGTCACCAAGGAGAAGGTCAACGCTGCCGGCCACGCCGGCCCCATCTTCATCGGTATGATCCGCGAAGCCGGTCTCTACGATGATATCGGCCAGGCATACGCCGCTCTAGACCCATCCCGCACCATCGGTGTCATAGATGACAAGCGTGTATATTCCAACTTCATCCTCCTCCTTTCCATCTCCACCAATGACTTTATGACCACCACTCCCTACCCCTTCAGCTATAAATTCCTGACCAAGGTTTATACCCGCGTCGTCAACGAGGTCCAGGCTGTTTGTCGTGTCTCCTATGACTTCACTGAGCATACGGCCTTGCCTAGTTTTACTTACACCATCGAAGGTATCAAAATACAGCAATATATGCGAATCTATAAATTCTAATTAAACCCACCTTAGAAAGTGGAGATGGAAAATTTGAATAGTATGAAAGGCTGTATCTTACCTGCCTAAGGCTAGCAGAACTAAACCACCTTCCAAGATTAAAATAATAAGATCTTGAATATACAAACCAGCGAGTATACGTACGTACATACGACAGAACTACTAGATGTGTTGCCAGTGGACTGACCTACACACCTCGGGAGCCATCTGACCCGATAGCCCTGGAGTGGAGATTTGTGGAGCATCAAGCTTCTGATAAAGCAAGTTATGTAGATCAGACTTGAAGAATTCAAGAATCATTTGTATTCGTGGAAAGTTGATAACTAGTAACCTTCCCCACAGGTCTGTGGAGAGTAGCGGCATAATATTTACCCCCAATGCCCACACGAGATTATCCCGGTTTCAGGACTGCTTGTCACTGCTATAGATAAAAAGAGTATATTTCCTCTATCGTTATTTCCTTATTCTCCCTCGATATACATGAGAAACCGGCAAAATATCATGCGGTATTCTCTATGGGCTTATACGCTTGTGCTGGCCTCAGCTTCCGCTACAACTTCACTGAGTGACATCTGTACCACCGCATATGCGAAGAAGGCGTTGCCAGTAGATGCCATTCATGGTGTCACCGTTGACCCCTCCTCGATTTCCACGAGTCTTGTCACCAATTTCACCGCTAGCAACATCTTCTACCCTACCTCGACCTTCGATTACTGCAATGTAACTTTTGCCTACTCTCATGACGGTATTGACGGGGATATTGTTCATGTGCAATACTGGCTTCCAGCTCCAGGGCAGTTTAAGAACAGATATGTGTCCACAGGTGGAGGTGGCTGGGCTATCAACTCGGGATCCTCGTCTATCCCAACTGGTGTTATCGCTGGCGGGTGGGTGCTTGCTCGTTTAAATTTGGTGGCCTGAATGGTTTGACTAATAAATTGTACAAAGTGTTGGAGGTTTGACCGATGGAGGATTTGGAAGCTTCAATACCCAATTCAGTTCCGTTGCTCTCTTGGAAAATGGAACTATCAATTGGCAGGCAACGTACATGTTTGGTGAGATCTTCATACTTCCGAGACTCACAGCTTAAGAGTCAGCTAACATCAGGAACAGGCTACCAAGCCCAGCATGAGCTCGCGGTATTGGGCAAACAGCTGACAAGAAATATTTATAACGTACCCTCCAGCGAAAAGATTTACTCCTACTACCAGGGTTGCTCCGAGGGAGGCCGCGAGGGATGGAGCCAGGTCCAACGGTTCCCTGATCAGTTTGATGGTGTAGTCGCCGGCGCTCCAGCCTTCCGGTGGGCGCAACAGCAGACCAATCATTTGACCGGAAACGTCATCCAGAAAACGCTTGACTACTACTCACCCAGCTGTGAGCTCGAGAAGATTATGAATATGACCGTCGCAAGCTGCGATCCCCTGGATGGCAAGACCGACGGTATTGTATCGCGGTCTGACTTGTGTTTGAAGAATCTAAATTGGGATTCCATCCTGGGCGCTTCTTACTCGTGTCCTGCCGTCAGTGGTTCCCCCTTCGCGGACGCCACACCTGCACAGACAGGCAAGGTATCTGCCAAAGCGATCGAAGTCATCAAGACCTATTGGAATGGTCTTCTCGACTCCGATGGCAAGCGCGTTTATTTCAGCTACCAGCCCGGTTCTACTTTCGACGATCTTCGAAGCGCATATGATTCCTCCACCGACAGCTGGAAGCTCGACATAAGTGGTCTAGGTGGCATGTGGATTGGCTTGTTTATTGATCTTTTGCAAGAGACCAACATTCCCAGTTTGGATGGCGTGACCTACGATACCCTTAAGGAATGGATGATATTTTCCCAAAAGAAGTACGGAGACATCTTCCAAACGACGTACCCAGACTTGTCGGAGTTCCAAGCCGCCGGTGGAAAAGTCATCCATGTCCACGGAGAGCAAGACTACTCGATTCCCACAGCTTCTTCCGTCCGCTACTGGAACTCCGTCAGGGAGGTTATGTTCCCCGGCGAGTCATATAGTGCAGGTGCAGCCGCTGTCGATGACTTCTATCGACTGTTTCTCATTCCAGGCGTGGGACACTGTGGCACCAACGAGTACCAACCCGGTGCGCCATGGCCGCAGACAACTCTGCAGACTCTCGTTGACTGGGTTGAGAATGGCAAGGCGCCGGCGACACTCGCTGGGTCTGGTGAGGTTGAAACAATGTGTCGCTGGCCTCTTCGCCCACTGTGGACTGCGAATGGAAAGAAGTTCCAGTGTGTTCACAGCCAGGAATCTATTGATAATTTTGATTATTATTTGGATGCGTACAAGATTCCTGTGTACTAGATGAATAGATTCTATCAATTGCATGATGGATTCTCCAATTGAATTTACGCTTACAATTTGCGGAATCTGCCAGACTTTTCAACCACCGGTTGGATCTCATGTCTAAGATGATGTTAAGATTATACCTTTATACCTTGGGTAGAATGCCGTTTTCCTTATATAATCTAATTCTGAAGCTCAACACAATCCCCGGCTGATACCTATCTATGTACCTAGTGAAGAGGGGAACGTTCAGGGCAGTATGCTCTCTGGCATACGGGTCGATTCGGCAGCCGTGATGCAGCTTCATACCCCCCATGGCATACGGAGCGAACCGGGACAGCAAACCAAGGAGTCAACCAAGAGAGCTGTAGAGGTGTGTATTGTCAATTTATAAACCATCTACCACTTGTAACCTCCAAAACGCTAGTTGGTTAACTTGCACTAACTGCTTACATAACTCCCGCTTGCATAAATGAGAGGACAGGAGTAGGCGCATAGTAGTGGGAGCCATATTTCCCTTTTCTTTCATACCACACACGTGCCAAGCGCCTAACACCACATCCAGTGTTAATGCACCCCAGAGCATCACAATCTCCCACTAGATCACAAATATATAAATTATGTATATTTTGTATGAATTGCTAATAAAAAATATACTTAAGCACGTCCCAGGCAATATGCAAAATTTCAATACTCGAACTAGTTGGGGAAAATTTAAAGTGAGAGAGATATATATTTGTTATAAAGGCAGTCTATTCCATTCATGTTTAATCAATCCACTATAATACCATTGGGTGTGGTGCTGGGCGCTTGGCACGGTTATAAGTATAGTTGTCTAGTTATTAATATATAAAATTATTTTCTCGCCCCCATGCGAGTTCTAAAGCCCAGCACACATACCAACTGCAATATGTCTTGGGCGTATTAACTCAAAAGTGTTGATTAATATAAATAAATGAACATCCTGCAGTATCAACAGGAGCCCCTGTAGCGCAATGGTAGCGCGTACGACTTGTATGTCTCCCCTCACCCCTCGAAACTCGATTTGAATTTCACTAACTCTCTCTCCAGCTACCTGATTAATCAGCCATCGTAAGGTTGCGAGTTCGACCCTCGCCAGGGGTTCAATATCTTCTAAATTTTTTTTATTCTTGCCAATAATTACCCTAGCCAGGTAGTAGGGGCTATTTGGTATAAATAACCGAATAAGGTCGAGTAAACACTACCTCACTACCTAGCCATGCTACCGTTCCCCCATACATTTTCAGATATGAGGACATATCACGTGATACCACCGCCACTTCGCCGCAGCTGCTAAGAGAGCGGTACGGCAACGAACCAGAGAGGTGGGAGAAGCAGTGGGAGCGAGAGACAACCTCCGCGCCTACAAAGCGCTTGGTATAGGCGCCAAACAAGAAGACCCTTCGTTTATACGAAGGCCTGTCGAAGCCGTAGTGTGCGATCTTGATCCAGATGCGCATAATGCGAATCGGCCTCCGACACTTCTTGTTCAAAATCAAGGCAGCCGAGACTGACCGGTGCAATTGTGACGAAGGCTCACAAACACTAAGACATATCCTAATGTTGTGTCCGCAGTACGTTGTGCTGCGTACAAAATCGTGGGAGCAATTGTGGGGTATTGGGATTAACGAGATGGATTACGATAAAATCTTGTCGAACCCGTAGGCCACCCGCTACGTGGTCAACTTTATACACCGAACAGGTCTCCTCCAGTAGTTTCAACACGTTAGGATCGAGGAAGACGACGACGACGACGAACCGACAGGCCTCGCGGTAATGGATTTAGGTGTGGAAGACGATGGGTATTAGCTAACAACGATAAATGATGCTAACTAGGAGACGAGAACTCAGTCAAAGTCGACAAACATGCCAGTCAACTAGCCACGACAGCGTCACCATTAATTGAAACCGAGGCAGGGGAGAGAAAAGTGAGAGAGTGAGAGAGTGAGAGAGTGAGAGAGTGAGAGAGTGAGAGAGTGAGAGAGTGAGAGAGTGAGAGAGTGAGAGAGTGAGAGAGTGAGAGAGTGAGAGAGTGAGAGAGTGAGAGAGTGAGAGAGTGAGAGAGTGAGAGAGTGAGAGAGTGAGAGAGTGAGAGAGTGAGAGAGTGAGAGGTGAGAGAGTGAGAGAGTGAGAGAGTGAGAGAGTGAGAGAGTGAGAGAGTGAGAGAGTGAGAGAGTGAGAGAGTGAGAGAGTGAGAGAGTGAGAGAGTGAGAGAGTGAGAGAGTGAGAGAGTGAGAGAGTGAGAGAGTGAGAGAGTGAGAGAGTGAGAGAGTGAGAGAGTGAGAGAGTGAGAGAGTGAGAGAGTGAGAGAGTGAGAGAGTGAGAGAGTGAGAGAGTGAGAGAGTGAGAGAGTGAGAGAGTGAGAGAGTGAGAGAGTGAGAGAGTGAGAGAGAGAGAGAGAGAGTGAGAGAGTGAGAGAGTGAGAGAGTGAGAGAGTGAGAGAGTGAGAGAGTGAGAGAGTGAGAGAGTGAGAGAGTGAGAGAGTGAGAGAGTGAGAGAGTGAGAGGGCGGAGGGTGCACTCCATGACAATCATTATATGGTTATTTCTTATGTATGGGTTTGATCTATGGGAATGGGCTGATTCCACACTCTTTATGAATCGGCCTCTGCATATACTCTCTGGGAGAGATCCCGCTCGGCGTTTTGGCTTCGAGTTCTTGCTTCAGCTG